TTCACAAATCATCCATGAGCAGCTCTTGTTCAAGTTCCCTCATCTGTTCGTCGAGCTCGGCAGACCACCCGGCCGCCTGTGCTTGACGAGTTTCGTGTGCCTCTTCCCGCTGCCGCTGACGCTCCACTCCGAGTTCGGCAGATTCTTCGGACGCAGTCGCGCCCTTAGAATCCGCCCTCGGAGCTGCACCGGCGGATGAAGAAGAGTCGGAATTTCCCTCAGTTCTCTTGGGGCTCGCCGGCACCGAGGAGACCGAGGAGGTCGCGGAGGATGCGGACGCACCCCCCACTTTCTCCTTAGTCGCCTCGGCAGCACGACGACCTTTTCGCTCTTTCCATTTCCGACCCTTCTTTGCCGACCGTTCGGCCGGCGTCATCCCCAGTGCTTGGAGGTCGTTGGCGTGCCGAAGCAACGGACTCAAATGTTGCGGGACTCGGCGGAGATGGCGCGCTTGCTCATGCTCCCCAAGGGCTTCCAGGGCTGCTGCCCCGCGTTCGGCGGCCTTCATCATGTTGTCGACGCTGACAGTTGTCGGAGGCATCTGTAAGCAATCGCATACAGAAGAATAGAACTTGGATCCTGGTCACAGCACCAAATATGTCGCGCCGGACATACACAATACCGATCTCAAGGCTACAACATATACATTCGCATTGCCGTAGTAACCCCACCAGGTCATCAACCAATATAGTTGATCCAAGTATCCATTCAGCCACACACGCTCACCTTGGTCATTCGAATAAGGTTGAGAGTCACTATGATTCCAGCTCGATTCAAGAGTGAAGGTCGAAGGAAGGTTGGTACTTTTCATCAGAAGCAGCAGGGGTTACATGTATATCGAGAACAAAAAGGATTGAGTTACACAAAGGAGTAGCAAAGGCGGGAAAACCCAACCAATCAGACCATAGAGAGCTTGTTGCTATGCAGAATTGACCAATGGGAGAAGACAAGGAGAAATGCGTATTATTTATGAATTAACTAAACAGCAAGCGTATACGATAAGACAGTTAGCAGATACAACATCCCGCGGCCCATGCATTGATAAAAGTGACAAGTAGATACAAAAGACAACTGCCGTACAAACGCGCGCTCATGAGGGGAACACGTTCACCCAACATGTAAACTAGTACCGGCAGAGTAGTTAGTTCGTCGTACAACCCGGGGAAGTTCGTCGTACAGCCCGGGAGAACCCGTCAGCTGCCGAGGCCGATATGACAGTTGTACCGCGATTTGAAGGTGTTGGCATTCAATCCGGTGTAATATTTGGTTGTCTGATGATTGGTTCAGCCATGAAACTCCGAGTCACAACGGAATTAATTTGCCAAGGTTTTCATGTTGTGCCTTTGTGTATCTCTCATACCGGAATGTTGTTGAGTGGTTGTTGTAGCGCGATTTGGAGGTGTTGGCCGTCAGTCCGGTGTATGTCTTGGTAGAGTTTCTCCCATGCCGGATTGTTTTTGAGTGGTTGTTGGAGTGAGATTTGAAGGTGTTGGCCGTCAGTCCGCGGACTCCGGTGTGTGTCTTGGTAGAGTATCTCTCATGCCAGAATGTTGTTGAGTGGTTGTTGTATGGCGATTTGAAGGTGTTGGCTGTCAGTCCCAGGACTTCGGTGTGTGTCTTGGTAGAGTATCTTTCATGCCGGAATGTTGTTGAGTGGCTGTTGTAGCGCGATTTGAAGGTGTTGGCCGTCAGTCCGGTGTGTGTCTTGGAAGAGTATCTCTCATGCCAGAATGTTGTTGAGTGGTTGTTGTAGCGCGATTTGAAGGTGTTGGCAGTCAGCAGTCCGGTGTATGTCTTGGTAGAGTATCTCTCATGCTGGAATGTTGTTGAGTGGTTGTTGTAGCGCGATTTGAAGGTGTTGGCGGTCAGTCCGGTGTATGTCTTGGTGGAGTATCTCTCATACCTGAATGTTGTTGAGTGGTTGTTGTAGCGCGATTTGAAGGTGCTGGCCGTCAGTCCTGTGTGTGTCTTGGTGGAGTATCTCTTATCCCGGAATGTTGTTGAGTGGTTTTTGTAGCGCGATTTGAAGGTGCTGGCCGTCAGTGCGGTGTGTGTCTTGGTAGAGTATCTCTCATACCGGAATGTTGTTGAGTGGTTGTTGTAGCGCGATTTGAAGGTGTTGGCCGTCAGTCCGGTGTGTGTCTTGGTCGAGTATTTCTCATGCCGGAATGTTGTTGAGTGGTTGTTGTAGCGCGATTTGAAGGTGTTGGCCGTCAGTCCGGTGTATGTCTTGGTGGAGTATCTCTCATGCCGGAATGTGGTTGAGTGGTTGTTGTAGCGCGATTCGAAGGTGCTGGCCGTCAGTCCGGTGTGTGTCTTGGTAGAGTATCTCTCATGCCGGAATGTTGTTGAGTGGTTGTTGTAGCGTGGTTTGAAGGTGTTTGCCGTCAGTCCGGTGTGTGTCTTGGTAGAGTATCTCCCATGCCGGAATGTTGTTGAGTGGTTGTTGTAGCGCGATTTGAAGGTGTTGGCCGTCAGTCCGGTGTGTGTCTTGGTACTGAGTAGCTCTCATACTGGAATGTTGTTGAGTGGCTGTTGTAGCGCGATTTGAAGGTGTTGGCAGTCAGTCCGGTGTATGTCTTGGTAGAGTATCTCTCATACCGGAATGTTGTTGAGTGGTTGTTGCAGCGCGATTTGAAGCTGTGCTGGATCTCATTCTGTAATAGCGCCCTTGGTTTTTGTACTGGGCCTGTGCAAAGATCCCTCGGTCTTTCTGTAATAATATGATACACGGTTACTATTGGTATTAGCCAAGCGTGGATGCTTGTTGTAAGGTCACTGTTTCCGAAGACGGTGTCCTCCACCTACTTTCATGCTGTCAAGTGTCAAACCAACAACAAGATGATACATGTTTTGTAGTGCTTTACATTGGATATGGCTATGACCAAGCGAGGGCAGAGTGTACCACACAAAGACAAAACCACAGGCCACGGCTTTACAGTGTCTGCTCCAGCGCCGGGTGAGCCGGGTAATCCACCCGGTTGGGCGGCGCTTGGATCCGGTTGAAAATATAGTACCGGGTCACCTGTGACCCGGTTGGTACTGTCGAACTTTGAAAGGACTGACTACATGGCTTGTATGTGTCAGATACTTCTTCTTCTTTCGTAATTTTCTAATTCCTGTCCTCTCTTTTCTTTTATAAACGGGAACTAGGCCCAATGATATAAAGGCGATTCGCCTTTATATCATTGGGCCTAGTTCCCGTTTATTGTCCGAATTAAAATAAACCAACCAACCAGTTAAAACATGTGACTCGGCTGGTGAGACAGCGCCAGGTACATGTGTACCCGGCTCCGACCCGGTTGAAATGGTTGCGCCAGGTACACGTGTACCCGGCTGTCCTACAAACCTAGAGCAGACACTGGGCTACCATGGCTACATGTACATGTACTGGGGCTAGCGTGGTGACAGATATACAGTGTATGTACATGTACTGGGTCAAATACTTTTAATACTGTTAATAGTGTAGCGGCTCTTTACATTTTACCTTCTGTCGCGCCATGTCCGCGAGACAACGTTTGCGCGCGACGTTCTGGGCGCCTGGTATGACCTTGCGACTTGTCACTAACGAAATGGTCTCTAGCTCTATTATTATTATTATTATTATTATTAATAAGCTTCCGTGGAGATAAAAATGTAATCAACGCAATAAATAGAGTAAGCTGCGCACTCAGTACAAACACCATTAGCAAAACTTGTTTTCATGTAAATAAAGAAGCTTGTTCCTAAACGTTTTCGTCGCCATCTCATCAGAGGATTACTGGCAAATCAACAAAAGCTCTTAACTCAATATATATACGCACAATTCAAGTAATAATTTAGACCCTAACTAGTGCGATAAAATGAGAGCTGAAAGAAACATTACACCATTCAACGATATCAGGTGACAACAGATGCGATAAATTCACCACTAGAAAGTTACCATGCAACCACAAACGAGAACTACTGATCTAAATTCACAAACAATTTCAACGTAAACAAATTCTTTTTCTGCCTACACAAAATCGGCTTGGTGGTAAAAATGTAAATAGACTCCAATACACGCAAATACCTTTGACTACGTGAACGAGACCAAACAGAAAAGCAATCATCAGCATAACTAGAACGACAATCACTATTCTGAACAAGATGGTTGGCGAAAACGTTTAGGAACAAGCTTCTTTATTTACATGAAAACAAGTTTTGCTTATGGTGTTTGTACTGATTGCGCAGCTTACTCTATTTATTGCGTTGATTATTATTAATATTTGTATATTAAAACTGTGTCTGTGATTGGCCTGTCACGTATGGTAACACCGTTGGCAGCTTTAGCTGATCGAACTGGGGATGATACCAGTGCACAGACAGTACGCGGGCTGAATCGTCAGCTTCTGTCCCGTGATCATTGACATTGTGACAGCGTGCTGATAGTGTTACGTCTATGACTATGAGAAAGCGTTCACGGACGGCATCAGGATCAAATTTCAGGAAGCCAACATGATCTCTGTAAACATTTAGTGCGAGGCTTGGACAGCGTGCGTATTGCCTATACACATGTACGTGACATTCTTGAAACTGCACAGATACTTTACAGATACTTTACAGATACTTTACAGTATGCTGTCAGCTGGCATGGCCATGACGACTTGGCGAGGACTTCTGATGCCAAACGTCAGTCTCCTCCTGTCATCTTGACAAAGGGACAGGGAAGAGGCCAGAGCCTCGGGAAGAGAGAAGTGTGGTTTCTTCCCAGATCGTCGAAGGACTTAGATTTTAGGTGCCCCCAAGCATGAACGAAGGTACGTCAACAACAGCTTATGACGCTTGGTGTCATGGCAACGTCTTCCCGGGGCTATGTCAACTGTCCTCCACTCCACTCTCCAGGCTCCACTCTAGATCTAGTATAAAGATCCAGGTGCCCAGCCCAGCATGGCCATGGGCCCAGCGTATCATGTTTTCAGAAAGTGACACGCAGCTGCAGCTGGCTGCTCGATTTTTTTCTTTGGAAATGGGTAGAAGATGGAAATTTTGACATTGTGGCTCAAATTAGCAGGCTCGAAGTAAGATCGGCGATCCCGCACCAGGATCTCGGCGTCCGTGCTGCGGCACGAGTGAGTGTTAGCTAGCGTCGCAGAGCCAGCAGCACCGATTGCTAGGAATGCGGACGGGAACGAATGGGCCGTGACAGCAGGTGAGCCCGTGTACCGGTGGTGTACGCGACCCTCGCCGGCAGCGCTGCCAATACCAGTAATAACATGTCCCTCAACCCATCAAAGGACAAGTCGCTCTTTACATTTCGGGCTGAGCGTATTCAGCCTGCAAACGCACCTGGCAATGATACTGGGACTGGTATCGGTGACCAGACGGAAGCAGCTAGCGGCGAAGCTGATGCGGTGTTCGCAAATTCTCCATCTCCTCGCATACGTCGCCATGGGGTAGCGTTCGCAAAGCAGGACGTGTCTCCGGTGGTTCTATCCGATGCCACAGGGAGAGGCCAAGCCGTAATCTATGGGCAGAGCAACAAGCGTTTACCGATGCTGGCCGACACCCGCATGCCGTCAGTGACACCGGACACCGGTCGTGAGAGACCTGAGGGGTTGCCTTTGCAGTCACCGGCTCAGGCTGCACTGGCCTCGTCTTCAAGTAAATCCATATCGTCATCACGCGGTCCCATTGTACAGGATGCTCCTCTGGATGCCAGAACAGGACGGGTGCTCGCCTCGGTGCAGTCTGGAGATGTGCCAACGAAACAGAGCCTGCCTGGACAGGTCTCCAGCACCAGCCTCATGCGATTCTCGTCGTCGTCATCGTCACCAGCATCCCCGGCAAGGGCGTCTGCCATGCAAGATAGAGAGAGGCGACGCTCGCATTTGCAAAGCTGGAAGTCCGATTCGGCCGATCATCTGATCGTACCGCCAACGCTGAAGCATGGTCCCAGTGCGGGTACGAAGGACAGCGTTACATCAGACGCGAGTGGACGCACATTGGCACCACTGGCAGAGCATCCACGCGGCCACTTGTCCTTTAGTCTTAGCGAAGAGGATGAGACGATGCCAACAGCCGAGCTGGATACAAAGAGCATAAAGTCGCGGCAGACTAGCAAGTCTACACTGCAAGTACCCAGAGTGGTGGTGAACTCCATACCGGCGCATACGGCTCTTGGCGAAGAGCTGTTTAGCCGCAACACTGACGCCCAGCGAGACGAGGAGGAGATCAAGAAGGCGTCGTGTTACATCGAGGACGCGCTGGAAGGACGGTGAGTGCGCGGGGGCGGTGTACAATGCTAGTCTGTGTGAACTGATGATTCCCAGCTAAACTTGGGACTGCATGTGTGTTGCACCATTCATTCAAATTTGGCATGCACAGCAGTAGTACACTGACTTGGTATGAAACTGTGCTCAGACAAGTGTCCGGTAGTTATGTTGCCATGGAAAGTCTTTTCAGATTGGATACAGTAGGCCTTGCCTGTGTGTGTCGTGTAAGATTCCTACTGATCGCTTGCTTCATTCATTCGGGTTGATCACGCCACCTTATGGCCGACTTGCAGCACATCTCGAGAACTTGCTGGATAGTTGAGCTGGCTAGGTGACCTGACCAAGAGGCGCTCACAATGGTTACGCTCTCCACGAAAACGTCCGTGGAGAGTCGTGCTGTTCCTTCATGGCTCGGCCATGCTGTGTATTGTCTTGGCTTGCTTGAAAGCAGGCAAACAAATCATGTGGTGATGTTAACTTAATCAGTGATTAGACAACAGTACTCCAGCTAAGCAGTATGTACACACACTGATCACACTGAGTATGTACATACACTGCTCACACTGAGTACGTACATACACTGCTCACACTGAGTACGTACATACACTGCTCACACTGAGTGTGTACATACCCTGATCACACTGAGTACGTACATACACTGCTCACACTGAGTACGTACATACACTGCTCACACTGAGTATGTACATACACTGCTCAAACTGAGTATGCACATACACTGCTCACACTGAGTACGTACATACACTGCTCACACTGAGTATGCACATACACTGATCACAGTGAAAGCCGCATGCTGGCGGAGTTCTTTGCCATTCGTGTTATCCAGATAACGACAGAAGGCGCACTGTTTACTTCAGTGTTTAACCCTTTGGAGTCCGTAACTTTTTTGCTTCCGCAGAATTTGTGGCAGTCACGAAAATGCGCACTCCATTTCCAACATAACTTAGGTTCTACTTCACCGATTTTGAAGATCTTGGGCTCGTTGGAAAGCTCTTGATGAGAGAAATACAATGAGCCCAAACTCGCCAAGAGCACTATTCATTTTCCGCCACAACGCGCCCCAAACGCGTGTCCAGCTCCAGATCTGAGACGAAATCGGTCTCGTGTAGCCATTTCACTGAATCTAGCTCGTAACTGTTCAAATTTTTTCGAGTAGAAGCTTACCTTGCCGTGACTGCGCCGCGCCGGTCCTGGCACGTGCCGCCTGTCATGAAGCTGGGAAAATCCCTTTTTTTCACGCACTGCTGACTCGCAGAACGCAGCACAGAAAATTCGAAATGTTTGATCGCTCACCGCTCACTCAAACTTCATCGGCGAGACTTCGGACCTGTTCGAGGCGATAGCTGAGAGTTTTCTCTACCATGTAGACTCTTCGATTGTTGAATTTGGTCAAGATTTGGCCGAGAACCGAAAGTTTGACTGCGCCCACATGCATACAAAATGCCCATGGTTCGAAATCGAACCATGGACTCCAAAGGCAAAGGGTTAAGCACTACTGACTTCAACTGCTGTCCTTCTGTCCATTTGTGTACATGTGTATGTGTGGTCGTGTCTGCTGTTATTGATGTGATGCTTCAAACAGGTATAAACATGGCAAAGGAAATCTATTATCGCAGCCACCATGGAAGAAGAAGTAAGTGTTTGAATGATAACCCATGATCCTGTCGATCTCATTCTATGCCCAGCGTGGCATGTCTGTGTCTCTCAGGTGTGTGTATATGCCTAGTGTGTGTATGTGTGTGTGTGTGTGTGTGTGCGCGCTTCTGGACCATCGTGTGACACCCGCCAGCGGCTCGCCCTACCTTGCTGCAGAGCCCACTGCAGCAAATGCGATCGTTATTGCAAGTCAACCCGAGGATTCCAGATACACAATTGCAACAAATGGATCAATGAAATGGCTAGGAAAGCTCGCTAGGTCGTTGATGCGACACAGCGCCTCAGCCCAACTCTCCATGTCTGTCGGCCCCTCACACGAGGGGACATGTAACCGGAAACGGCAATGTTCAGGACAGGACAGGACAGGTGTGTGTGTGTGTGTGTGTGTGCCACTCCTGTCTTTGACCTGCGCACGTCGTTCCAGCCATCCACAAGGCATCCCTAGGCATTGCTGCACATCCTGTCGCTCGCACAAAAAACAAACAAACAAACAATAAAACAGCTTGTTCAAGTGCCGCCGGACCTGCAGTACCTCATGCCACATCCCGAAGTCAGTGCTCCTTCAAGTGTGTTTGTGTTTGGGGACACGTAGCTGGCAGTAAGCGAAAGAGTGGGAGGAGGTGTGTGTGGGGGGGGGGGGGTATGCGCAATATCGACACGGGTGGCTCCTTGTTTATATCAGTCTAACAATCCCAACCGATGATCAGGCTGGTGCAAGGTTTGGTAAAATAACACCTGCTCTCTTTTCTTCACCTGCCTGCTTCTGCTTTGCTGCCTTGCAGGTGCTTTGACGTGCAAACCAGTTTTGCATGGGCCGGCTTCATATACATCACAAACTGCATATTCATCGGACTGCTGATCGTTGAGCCACCTAGCATGTGCTCCACTCCACTGTGGGTACACGGCTTGATGGAGATTATGTGCTTGATGGTAAGACAGCGCTAGTAGCAATTCGCGTGCCTAACAAAGTTGATCGGTGGCAAACGCAGTACATGTGACACCACCATACATGTTCCATGTTGTGATATTTCCTTATCCAAGTAACTTCCTGGACGTTTGAGGGCCCGATGTTTCCCCCGCCATCCTGAGATGACCATTGGCTTATAGTTTTGTGTAGAGGGGTGGAGAATGGATTAGAGAATGTAGTACAGCTGCCACCCCGCCAAGGAAACAGTTGTTTCCGGCCTTACCAAACAACTGGACAGTCTTCAACTACTGCGCCATTCTATAACAATTCTATCGAGGAATTGAAAAGAGTTATGTTCATTCACCTTTCCTCAGCTGCAGGCTAGCTCAGTATGATCACCATGTGACCATGCCTCCAGTGTGTGTGTGTGGAACCCACATCTACTTGGCGAATCACGATATCCATCCATCCTTCGAGCCTGAAGATGTTCAGAACTAGTTAACCAAACTGTACCTCAATGTGTGCTGTTCGTTCTTCCGCTGTTGCAGATAATCTGTATCGACATAGGCCTGAAAGTGGCGTACATGGGCAAGACTGGGTATTTATCTAAGAAATGGCACAAGTAAGTTGGCGACGTTCCTTACTAGCATACCGTGTGCATGTAGTAACAGGGGCGTCGCACACGGTATGGTCCCAGATACACCGTGAATCAACAAAATACACTGATCTGGGATCTAAAATTCCAAAATTGTCGGCTATGAGAGAGAGAGAGAGAGAGAGAGAGAGAGAGAGAGAGAGAGAGAGAGAGAGGGAGAGGGAGAGGGAGAGGGAGGGAATGAGGGAGGGAGAGAGGATGCAGGGAGGGAGGTCTTATAATAGTACTACCGGTAATAACTGGTCATTTCAGAAAGGTTTGTCATCTGATCCATGCCAACTACATGTACCTGTATTACCGTAATATACATGTGCAAGTAGGTACTAGACAGTTTTTGACTTTTTGTTTCAAAAGACATTCACTTGTACTTGTGCATATCCCTTATGGCAGAGTCTACATCTACAGGACGTTTCATATTTTTTCTTACTCTTCTCTGTTCCTTTGAACTGTGGTGTGTGTGTGTGTGTGTGTGTGTGTGTGTGTGTGTGTGTGTGTGTGTGTGTGTGTGTGTGTCTGTGCATGTGTGTGTGTGTGTGTCTGTGTGTGTGTGTGTGTGTGTGTGTGTGTGTGTGTGTGTGTGTGTGTGTGTGTGTGTGTGTCTGTGCATGTGTGTGTGTCTGTGTGTACGTGTGTGTACATGTGTACGTGTGTGTACGCAGATTATCGTGTATTTTGATCTTCCTCTACTTTGCTGACCTGGTTGTGTTCTTGTCTCTGCAACGACCCTGCACAAGTATTGTAAGTCTATGCACAAGTACAATGTAGGTGTAATGTGGCATGAGAAGTCTGTGGGGATGTGGTTGGGTAACCCCAAGCACTGGATGTATGCATGCTGGAGGTGCGTTTGGTGACGGGTTATGTTGCTTCAATACACAACGCCAGATGTCTTGTATTACATTTTGCTATGATTTTAGTAGACTATGCAAAGTGTGAAATGCATGTGCATGGTGCGACAGACTCCTTCCTCTCTGTAAACACGCCAGATGGTCTACAGAAATTGCAATTATCCACCTTCGACTTTTGACGAGAGAACTTGCTAGAATTAAATACCAAGTTATATTGGGGCACCATGGAGCATTGCATGTGTGCGTGTGTGTCCACTAGATTCGCTTCGCACGACCACTACGTCCATGGCTGCTGCTGGCACGTAATCGCCGGCTGCGGCGTGTTGTTGACACGACGGTGCGCATGGCACTGCCACTGTTACGCATATTCTTTGCCATGGCCGTCTTCATCGGCGTGTTTGCCTGGATAGGTGTGGTAAGTTTTGTTATACAGACCTTCCTAGTTAGTTGCCATGCCAATCAGTCTGTTGCTATGGCTATACTCAACGTGTTTGAAGCCACAATATAATGGTATTTTGGTGGTTTCCAATAGAAAGTTCACTGGCTGAAATGCTTTATGTGCAGTGCTAACTTACTACAGAATTCTCTTGATCGGAACTCGAATGTTGGAAGGATAATCTTCTGCTTCTCTTGACATGCAAAAATATCGAAATCATTTCTTTCTAAATTACAATTCAAGGAGTTCAAGAGTTTGCTCTACACTTCCATATTAGAATAATCACAAAGCCTGTATTGCACATATTCCTGCATTCCGTATCTGTAGTTAATGCCCACCGGTCTGCTTTCAAATGTATGTACGTGAACATATGAGGTGTGCGAGCACGAGAGAAATCACTCAATTGTGCGTGCACAAAGAACAGTAGTGTCTGTTTCCTCTGTCATGCTTTAACACAGCATCTTTATCGCGATGTCTACCATGACAAGTACATCCCAACAGAGACATGTCAACTGGAGACATGTACGAATGGATCCAATCCAATGGTCAATATGTCATACCTCAACTCCAGCAGAGCAAACGCCTCTGCAGCTGGAGAGTTTCGTTCGCACAGTTTGTTCGCGCACACTTTCGACAACCCGCTGAACGCCTCTCTCCATCTATTCGTGCTGCTAACATCGGAAAACTATCCCTACATCATGGGTAAGATGTGTGTTTGTACCTGACGTTAGGTGTCACATCACAAATGCCAATACTTCAACAAAACAAGAAGTAGAATATGAAGTAGAATGTACTGCAAGACGTAATACAAGGTGCATAGGAACGTTCCAGCCAGGACGAAAGCTAGACTTTGTTACACCTGCTGTCGGCACAGATAGGCGGAGAACATGTAGAATAATACGGTGCAGTTCTGATGTGGAGTCTGACCTTGTGGTACACTTGTGGAACCTGAATGAACATCAGGCTAAATTGTTACAAATGATATTAATGATAAACCTGTGTCATATGTGTGGTCCTTTTCTATTTGGAAGTACGAAAATCATTTGCAGTTGTTCACCTTTATGAGTTGCATTTTGTAAAGGAGAGACTTGGATGACATGCAGCACTATGCGATGAGGATTTTCACATTGAATCCAGCTGCAATTGTGCTTCCATTCTTTGCTGCAGAACCTGCTCTGAATGCACACAGAGGGAACTTTGGTAAGTGATGCTCACGTACCAGCGTGTCTGATGCAAAGTCAGCCATGAATTGCAGTGTGATTCAATCAACCGGCCTACCTGGTATTAACGTTACAGACTGTCCAGTCCCGAGAGGAGACTGTGACCAACTGCCAGTATAATACTGAGAAAGCATCGAGAAAAGGAAGAAAGGAACTGGATAGCATTGTTTGCGACATGTACTAATGCTTTGTACCTACCTGTTCCTGCACAGCCTACTTCATCATCTACTTCGTCAGCTGCATCCAGATCACGGCTTTGAATCTTGCCGTCATTGTGCAGTTCTGGATGTGAGTACATTGGACAGGTAGTTTGACCCAGTCAGAGTCGTATTTTGCAGCCGCTGAGCTGCAATGCATACACGATGATATTGCACCATTGCCCGTGACACACGTCATGCACTGTGAGAGTGAAGGCATTGAACTGACAGTTGCCAGTATCACTCAGGCATGTCTACAAAGCCTAATCGAGTGGTCCACGAATCAGTGGCCCAGTGAAATGAAGTGTTTACTCTGTGTGTATTCCTTTCTGGTGCAGAGCACGCCTGACTTCAATCGGACGCGCCGAGAAAAAGAAGCAAAGATTGGGACTGGCCAAGGCGTTCATGCAGCTTGATCCGAAAGGTATTGTGACACGGTTGCTGTCGACATTTGGTCATACACTGGCAAAAATACATGAACATTAGTGGTAACAAGTCTCTCAAGTCACCAGGGAGGAGTATGTCCATAGCAGATCTGCAGTAGCTTCTTTAAAAGATAAAATGCAGAAATCTTCCTTATCCTGTGTTTCTGGCATGTTTTGCTGGCTGTAGGAAATGGTTACATAACAGAGGATAGATGGTGTAAAGTTGTCCATCATCTACGCAGTGACATGGACCGACTCAAGGTAGGTGCTCTGAACTCCGGCTGTCTGTTCATTTTCGATTCAAACTGGCTGTGTTTGATACTTACATTAGCAGTAGTTGTGTTCACACTGCATAGTACTTCAGTAAAGGGAAGAAAATCCAAATTCCATGTCTCACATGAGAATAAGCTCAAAGGCTAACTATTATGGGAAGGGGTAGTAGTGTATAATGGAATAAGCCATGGCATAACAAAAAGTAGGTAGCTTAGCACTACTGCTCCAGTGGTGCTCTGACATTACCACGAGGAAGTGCTGCTCAAAGAGTGCTGAAAACCATGAAGAAGAGCTGCTTAACCCTTTGTGTACGGACTGTACAACTTTCGATCCCCTGGGATCGAAACTTTTCAAAATTACAATCGATCGTAACTCAGTCATTTCTGGGCTATTCCCAAAAACTAAAATATGTAGATCGAAGAGAAAACTCCCAGCTGTCCAATGAAACAATCGCTGAAGCGCTCCGATGTGCGGTTCCAGAGTTACGAAGCTCGAAAGTTGAATCGCGGAAAATGTCGCGAAATAGTCGCTTGCGCAGATTTGAATGAGCGATTTCTCCATCATTCTGGACATGCAGTGACGTAGAAACACGTTCAAAATGGCAAACGGACGCGTGGAAGTTTGTAAATTTTTTTGAAGTAACAGTTTAGTTGTTACGAGCAAGGAAAGCGAAATGGCTGATACAAGACGACTTCTGTCGGAATATTGGCGTTGCAGCTAAGACGCTGGGCTGTAGCGCTGGCGTTTTGACCTTCGTGGTGGCAAGCGTGGGCTCAGTGTGTCCCTCTTGCGACGGGCTTTCCAGGAAGCCCAAGATTGAAAAATCGTCAAAAGGAGACTGAAGTTATGGCCCAGAGAAGTATGGAATTTGAGGTGAGCCGAAATCAAATTCAGGCTGTGTACATTTTTTCCGTACATAAAGGGTTAAAGGGCGCTCATTACCATGAGCAAGAGTTGCACAATGGGTGCTCGATACCAGTCATGAGGCAGAGTTTCTTCACACATCCCCGAGAGAAAGATCTTTGCTATAGGCCATGGTATGATCCTGGATCATAGCTGACTTCGGGTGAGTGTAATCCCACGCCATGCGTGCTTGCTTCCGACTGTTTCAGGCGAAATTTGTATTCGACCTGCTGGACTTTGAGCAGAAGGGCTGTTTGGATGTGCTGGACTTTCTCAACATCTCCGAGCTCTTCAACATCAACATCAAACAACTTGACTGTAAGTACTCGAGTAGTGTGTACCTTGCTCAGTTTAGAATATCGTGCATAATGTCGGCCAGGAGCAAACGTGCTGGTGCACAAAAACGCCATTGTCTTAAGCAGGCGGTGGACTTTGTGCGAGTGCGAATGGTGGGAGAAAATGGAGCATGCTGTGGCTGTAGAACTGGGCCGAATATTTCACATAGAGATCATTGCAATGATTTGCTTCCTGTATCTCGTGCTGCAGTGGAGGAGATTCAGACACCAATTCCATACTGGAAAGCCACACTTCGGTGAGTAGTGATTTAGAAGTCATGGATAGTGTTAGTACGGACCAACTGGCACATACATACATATCAAGGCTTATCGTATCATTATCACACATGAATGCTGACGGGGATCAAACGAATCGACAGCTGATCTTCCAAAGCCTGCTGAACTTGGAAAGCGGCATTCCATTTGGATATTCGTTTGTCGCATGCAACTATCATGACAAGCCACTCAATTTGACTTTTGAACCTTAAAAACATAATTACGTAATATTGCACAATAATAGACATTCAGACCACAGGGCAATGCATAGTTCGACTTGAAAGATGTAGAAATTTCCAGTGGCAAATTACAATGCCAAATGCTTGGCATGTTTCTTCTGTGCACTCCAGGAGCTTCCTGTACGCGCCGCTGTTCAAAGCGGGCACGCGTCGCTTCTACCTGAACAACTTTCTGCTGACTTTGGTCGTCATCCATTCACTGCTGATGAGCATCTTCTTCCGGGGCATGTCGACGTCACTGCAGGACAACCTACGCATCGCCTGTACTGTCATCACCGCGATATTTGTACTCGAGATCATTGTTAAGCTTGTTGCTGGCGGTAAGTCTGAACTGATGACTGCTTCTTGCTTTACACATAGAAAACATTGGCTGTCCTGAGTGGGCCACAGTACAAAGACGGAAATAGGTGGACAGACCAGATACAAACTGTGTGCACTGTTTACGGGGTACATTGTGCTCCACCGTGTCCAGGTATGATGCAGCACAGTATCTTGGATACACAATACTGCAGTGATTATCATGGCCATTGGAGGAATCTTGCACTGATATTCCACTGTTGAACATCATCCTTTGTAACCGCTGGATAGAAGAGAGCTAATCCCTACTGTGCTTCCTGGTGAGAAGCCCGGTGATTTATGTTCACTTCCGAGGGCTGGGTGACAAGATTTACGATGGGAAAGTTATGTAGAAAGAGTCAGCACGTTCGCTGTCTGATTAGGTGGGTGTTTCTGATGGGTATGTGCATATGTGGGTACGTGTGTGTGTGTGTGTGTGTGTGCGTGTGTGTGTGTGCGTGCGTGCGTGCGTGCGTGCGCGTGTGCATGTGTATGCATGTGCATGTGTGTGTGTGTACCTCTATGCCTGTGCTATCTCTTTGTCTGACCAATAGGCGAACACCGGATGGTGATTGCTGGAAATGCTGCACTCGTCGTGACAGCCACAGTCAGCATGGCCATATACTGGGCAATGTAAGCAGTAGTAGCTTGTTAACAGGTTCTGCTACAGTACCATTCTGCAACATTCACTTTTTGTGATCATTCCAATAAATTACTTGAAGTATTTCAGTAGGTCTAATGCTTCACAAAGTACAGACCTTTTGGTCAACATCCTGTTATGTAGTGCACAGCCCTCATCTTAGATTGCGGGTAAATCATGTAATACAATCATGCACATGCCGGCCTACGCCGTTCTATTCGTTAATATTCTCCTGTGAAGCCATTGGTAATTGTAGGGGGTTGAGGAAGGAGCCTTAGTATTGATTGGTAAGTAAGGCAGCTGACTATTAAACGTTAACAGAAATACCTTTGAAGAGGCGAACTCTACATTTGTTGCTATGATTGTGATATGAGTGCGCAGATAGTTCCATTCATTGCTTTAGAGAATTACTTCGAAGTACCTTTGCTTCATCTTGTCCTTCTCCACCAGCGGTCCAGTCAGAAACGACAAAGCAGATCTAATCTGGGGCTTGGCGGTCGGCTTCCGTGCTTTCGGCTTGTCACGGAATCTCCAGTTCATACTCGTCTATTTCGCCAGAGTGAGTATTGATGAATAGATATCTGATATCTGTGATGAACCATACAAAGGCATCCTGTCTACCCCAGTCAAAGAGAAACCTGGTCATGTTTTAGAAGTTGAGAAGAACTGTGGCTACTGCTACAACAACAAAAAGAAGAAGAAGAAGAGCTCCAACTGAGTCATACAACAGCAGACTGATATAACGTTGTCTGTATAGAGCATGTGCATGCTGGTGCAATGCAAGACCGGTGGAGACAAGAGAGATACGAGGTAAGAGAGACACTACAATGACAGTTACTATAACACATGCCAGTATTATACAACAGTTTGCCCAGCGTAATTATGCATACTGATACTCTGCGCTTATCCTTATTGCTGCTGAAATCCAGGTCAGTCGAGTCACATTCTGGCAAGTTGCAGTGACGGCAGGTTTCCTCTATACGATTGCTGACATTGGCATGCAGACCCTAGTGCGGAGAGATGGCATGTCAGGCACTACACTCGGCAATGTCACGGGAATGTCCTGTGCAGAGCGGTTGCTTGTTGTTCCCGAGGATCAGCGTGGCTTTGACCGGGAACCTTACAACTGTGCACTGGTGAGGCATTCCGAATGATGTATGATCAAGTGATATTGTGTGGCTAGCTGATCTGAGTGTTTGGGGCTCAGGCATATTTCAAGTGATTGCAATGGCATACTCCTCACCCCACACCTCATTGCACTTTTAATATGATTGTGTCAATGTGCAAATATTTCCTCATCAGCCTGATCGGCCGACTATCAAATCGGGTGCATGCTATACATCTCTAACTGCATTCCCATTGATTCCTATTGACTTTTCACACCATGGTTTATCTGCACTGTATATTGATACTGCACTGTGCACTGTGCGGCGCTGCAGGGATTCGACAATATCTACTGTGCCACGCAAACCGTGATGTTGATTATGTCCACCAACGACTGGCATGTGTTGATGTTTGATGCAGGCGAGGTAAGATGCACACACCTTGCGGCCTAGGCAATAGGCACAGGCCTGTGGCCGGGGTGATATGCACGCACTTTGCGGTCGGGTAATACTCGTTTACCCGCTCCTTGCAGCCGGGTTAATACACTTACCTTGCCGCAGTGCGGCCGGGGTATGTGTGTTGTGACCCCGTGCAGCCGGGGTAATATGCACGCACCCTGTGCCTGAGGCACATTTACATACTTTGCAGCCGAGGTAATATGCACACACTTTGCAGTCGGGTAATACTCGTATACCCGCTCCTTGCAGCCAGGGTAATACACTTACATTGCCGCAGTGCAGCCAGGGTATGTGTATGACCCCGTACAGCCAGGGTATGTGTGTGACCCCGTACAGCCAGGGTATGTGTGTGACCCCGTACAGCCAGGGTATGTGTGTGACCCCGTACAGCCAGGGTATGTGTATGACCCCGTGCAGCCGGGGTACTATGCACACCCTGGTCATCTACTTTTTAGAAGACACCAGCCAGTTTTCCCCAGCAACTAAGAGTTTTGGGAATATTTAGTAGACCTGGATCAAGTTGAAATGCGCGAAAACAGAATGTTGCAAGCATTTAATGTTGTGAATACATGCTGAAAGCCCAGCAGGGTCCATCTCCATAATCCTAGCAGCCTCCAGCACACTTAGAATACATGGGTGGTTTTCACGAATGATCCTTGGGCATGTAGGCATTCCTACGGATGCGGAAAACACGGCCTCCAGCTCTCACGCACCTGCATTGTAAATGTTATCTGTGCTGCCCATATCCGTATTATTGCAGGTTGTTGGCCAATGGGTCTACGCTTACTACACAGCAACGTATGTTATCATTCACTTCGTCTTCATCAACTTGCTGGTGGCCATAGCCATTGAGATGTTCCTTCTTGCCATCAAGACGAAGGTCAGTGTGTCGACGGGCATGCACTGCATCCTTGAACTTGTGTTCGATAAGCGCGGCCTGCATGGATCACCCGCTAAGAGTCACATGACCAGGCATGGATATGTGTGTGGTCAACTACGTACTTGTATGATCCACTCCAGGTCACGTGACAGGTTTTCAGTAAAGTGTACAGTCATGCAGAACCATAATCAACGATACACCCAATGCTGTAGACGGCAAGCTGTTTCGGCAATATAGGCCTCATCAATACAGCTACGAGCTTTAAGTAAGCCGAACTACCGGCCATGGTGCAAAGGAGGCACCACGGACATTAAGCTAGCTCGTTGCTCTAGCGCCAGAGTGCTCTAACTACGCCCGCCGAGAGTGCTCAACAAAAAAAAGACGAATGTCGAGGAGCGTAATGCCCAATCATACATGTGGTCATCACGAGATCAAGGAATAACCACTTTGGTTGAGTAGGACTTTTTTGGACTGTGTGAGTACTATGCTTCGGGTGAGTCAAGTCAGTACTGAACTACATGGTAGCTTCCGTAGGTGGCTGCATGTGGCAAAGCGGCACCCATTGCCATATGTGTAGACTGCCGGACTGACTAGTGGGTACAATGTTTCTGCACCTTCTGATTCTCTGCCAACAGTTCTTTTCAACTGTGGAATCACGGCTGGTCGAGACACACGTTGCAAACTTTGAAGTAATGGCTGAAGGGTCACACAGGGTGCTAAACTCTGTGAGGTAAGGTGTTGAACAGTCTGAACATTTGTGTTTCATAGCTGATAGAGGAAATGCACTGAGCTGACGAGCTGACATTGGAGGTGACCTTGTTGACATGTAGCTTTACAGAGTTCATCATAACAGATACTGCGTATAGTATTACTGAACACGGCCTTGCGTAAGGGAGGGGGAGTGGTGGCCACTGCTTATCATGCTGAAGATAGAACTGAAAGCATGTTTGCATGGCTTCCTGTGCTTTCATGCGCGTGTAGGAAACGAAGCAGCAGCATAGTCCGCGGCCATGTGCAGCCTGACAGCATACATGCGGAAACGACGCCAATCCACTCCTCTCTCGACCTGGACGACTATGCCGAGGCTCGGCAGCGTACCGTGGTACTGCAGGTCAGCAAGAAGAACAACTCGCTGGTGGAGGAATTCAAGTCATTTGTCGATGTAAGTCAGGGACACAACAATCATGAGCATACATTCATGCACGGAGAGCTGTTGCCCTGTCCGCACTTGCATGGAGTATTCGCACTGTGCCACCTGGATAAACCTGGTTCTGTAAAGTGAATTCTTCAACACCGTGCAATCTGATAACTCCAATGCATAGCGGGAGATGTACTTACAAATTGACTCATTGGTCTGACTTCATCCAAATATGAACCCACTGCCAGAAAATTGATCCGAAACGGTGGCGAAACCTCTAAGATTTTAACAAACAAAAAACCAACGACAATTGTACTGGATGTATTTGCATGTGCAGCAGTACAGTAAAAAAAATTAAAAAATCTGACGGGATTTAGCAGTACAGTGGCATGGTTGAATACATACAGGTACATCTTACCAGTTACCACACAAGAGACTGAACTGAGGATTTAGTGGGCATCTTGAGGAGGTGTCTGATTTTGGGTGACGATTTGTTGACATCACTGTATTTGTTGGTACAATGTTTGCTTGCGGGCGTGTTTCCATTGCCGTCCCTCTAGAGCGAAGATCTGGATGAGGATGAACTGAACTCCATTCAAGCACTGTACAACACCATGATGAAAAAGAAAAAGGATAAGACGTCAATTGCACAGGTAGGCCCGGCAAAGAGAAGGAATCATGCGGCTCTCGTCTTGGTATTTGGTTCTCAGCCATCGTCGGCTTCGAACAGCGCACGGCCGTATGCCGTCCTCTGAGCATGTGCGTCTCTCTGGTGTGTGGACTTGCTGCCACTGCATGTATGTGTAGTGAGTAATGCTCACGACACATCATGTTTCCACTGTAACCGGCATTGTAGCCTAGGCCATTTTTTTTACTAAAAACACAGCCCTACTAATAGTCAGGGGAAGAGGACAACTGAAATGACACTGGACAACAAGACAAAGGGGAGTAGGGGCGATGTGCCGATGTGGTTGGCAAGGCTCATCCATACCAATTCGCTAATGTTGTGTGTGTGTGTGCGCGCCGCGGTGCGTGCGTGCGTGTGTGGTCATATTTGTGTGATCTTCTTCCTCAGGGTTGCTTCGATGCTGTCGCGCTGCAGCGTGAGAAGAACCTGGCACGAGCTCGCCTGGAGCGGCCTGATCTCCTAATCTACGCACTGGTGGGTTATTGGGAGCACTCTGAGCCTGTGCTGAGCAGATGAATAGTGTCCTATTCGTACCGAATAAGCATGTTTGCGTTGGCATTTCAGGTAAAAGCAAAGCTGTTGCAATCGTGAGGGTGCTCCAGGACCAGGAAAAATAAGCTATTCGTGGTAGCTTGGGTACATTCTTGCGAGCTGCAGAACCAGGGGCGGATCCAGGATTTTTCCAAGGGGGGTTCAGTTTTCTTCCACCCTTACCAAAGTGTGTTAAAATGATGACATAAAAAAAGTAAAAAAAGTGCTTTTTGAAAATGAAATAGGCTGCCGACTGATCGCCTGCAAATGTACAGTGCCTATCAAGCGGTTAATCAAAAGTATTGTAGAATGGAGAGGATGACGACGACTGATGGAAAAGAAATTTGCAGGAATACAGTGGTTAACAGGGTGGTTGCTGTCCCGCCGACGGATAGGCATGTATGAGCAAACAGATTTTAGCACTTTTTCAGCTCAAAAAGCTCAAAAAGGGCGATATCACCAAAAAAACGCAATAAATGGCGAAAGAAACGGGCTTTTCCAAAAAGGGCGAAAAAGGGCGAAAAAGGGCGGGCACCTTTGGGAAAGGGCTAGAGGATAGGCGCTCTCATCCCATTATCGAGCGCTCGAGCGCAGGTAGTGCTTCAGCCGTTTCAAGGCAGTGTTGCTGCGCTCATTCTCCGCAGAGGTGACGGGTAGTTTTGAAGCAATCCGGAGGAGGACGTGGATGTTCGGGAAAACATCGGCATCGCAATGCACAACAGCTTCTTGTGGGGTAGCTGGAAGTGCACCAGACTTCTCTGCTGCGTCCTTCCATTTCCTGACCCACTTTCGGATGTCAGTTGATATACATGTAGTTGAAGAGCTTGGCAGATCATCAGAATACGTGTCGACCAAGCGTTGAATGTTGGCAAGTAGGCCTTTCCCATATCGGCCGGCCGAAAAATTCGCCGAAAAGTAGCTTTTTCAGAATATCGCCGATCTTTTCGCCGAATTCTGAGATTTTACCAAGAAATCGCCGAATATACATGACATTGTAATCTACGTGGAGATAATATTTTTAATATAGCTATCGATTCTGGGGTTTCAATCATATTTTTGTTATAAAATACACAGTAATACATGTCAAACAAGTAACGTAGTTGCGTGATGTCTGCGGCCTTCATCCTATTCATAGCTATTGAATATACATGTACATGTACATGTAATAATAATAATATCTTTATTAGGATGACCCAGAGGCTTGGCGCCTATCAATACCTTATTCCTTGGACTTTTGCTGACTTGGCTCCTAGACTACAAGTACAAGGGGTTCACCGCTTTGAAGGGTGTCCATGTATATGTATGAGCTAAAGTGAAAGTAGTACATCATACTACATGTACATGTTTTGCAGGGTCGTGGGCAACTGGGCATGACCGCTCGTGCGCGCCTGCGTCACGGCCCGTGGGCATTTCCCAAATCGGCTGGCCGAAACATTGGCCGAAAATAGTGGTTTTGAAGAAATCACCGATCTTTTAGCCGAATACGCAATTTTCGCACTGAATTTGCCGAAAATTGATGTTTTAGTGCCTCAATAGCATGCAAATACAATTTCTGTAGCCATTATCTGCGAAAGGTGGCTGCGACTTTAGAGCCGAATTTCCACCTTTTACAGAAATTTTCAGCCGATTCTGGCGATTTTTTCAGCCGATCGAACAGCCGAATAGGCCAAAATAAATGGCCGATTTGGGAAAGGCCTATTGGCAAAGTGTTCGTCTGAGGCTCATATCAATGTAACATCTGCATGATTCAGCTCGGGCTATAATTATATGCGCTACGGCAGGCCAGGATCCGAGGATCCTAGGAGCAATTCGCATGCCTGGCTTTTGTAAAAAAAAAATTTAAAAAATGCACCATGGTCGGAAAATTTCTAGGGGGTTCGTTCGAACCCCCCGAACCCCCCCCCCCCCCCTGGATCCGCCCCTGAGAACCGCCCATATAACTAGCTCCTACTACTAAATCTCCAATGTAATGTCCGGATATAAGGACATGCTTGCTGCGGCTTTAATCACCACTGTATTCAACTTAAAAGGTAGTGGTACGAAAGGCCTAGTCGAAACTGTATGGCTTCTGTGTTTCGTGTGCTGGTTTGCTTCCCTCCAATCAAGAATCTATTCAATCCCCAATGTCATGTAACAATTGAATGGGCGTTTCTGTTACCATCCGCGCCGTTTGGCTTATTCTTGTGTGCGGACACAGGCATCGATTCGAGGCAGAGGAGATGTGGTGAAGGCAAGCGGCTGTTTAGTGCTGGAAGTGGACGGTCATGCTAACGTTGCCTCGTTTAGCTGCACTGTCAAAGGCTTGACGTAAGCATGCACACAGCAGATTCTAGTTCTTTGCAGATGTAGAGTTTAATGCAGAAGTACACTTGCAATGTACTAAACAGAGCTGAGCATGCGTTGGACATGAACAGCAATCATACCAAGGGGACGACACACCACATAATCCACCAGAGTGTGCACATTCACATGTCTGAAGGTTTGAGGTTTTCAATAAAAAATATATATAAATAAAAAAGTACACAAGTGTCGATTCAGCTTGTTTTATTGATTGCGGCTATCTACCGGTAAATATAAAAGTCCATTCATAAAAAGATGGACTTCTAGCCTCTGGCCATAAATAGGTCAAATTTTGAGTTTTAGAAAAAATTGTGCAATCCTCCTATGGAATCTTCTTCCAATTATGTTTCTGAAATCCAAAGCAAGCACTAACAAGAATAGGATTTCGGCCAGGTTTTGCCCGAAAAGCACTGAATTTGGAAAAACCGTCAAAATCCAGGCCGTTTGACCCCGCCTGCAACAGTGCATTGTGCGGTTCGAACCCCAGTTCAGGTACCTTTTTGGACCCATTTCCAAATTTCAACTTTCGCTGCACTGCACTGTGTACAATAAAATCACGAAAAATCGCCAAATATGGGACCTCACCGGGGCCCATCTTTTTATGAATGGACTGTGCATTTTTAGCAGCAAGTGCCCATCAGGGATATATACAAATTTGTGATGTACATTCATATTTGGGAGCACTCTTGAACCTTTCGAGTTTTCCGGTGCACCTTGAGTGCTACATAGTATGTTGTGATGTGTGTGAATACAACCATAGGCTGATAAAAGGTTTACACAATCATGCTTGGACATGTATACAACGCACGCACTACAGTATGTAAGCTGGGGCTGCACACGGTATGGTATTTCGCATGCCACACATGTCCAGTGGAACCCCGATTTCCGAACAAGTCACCAATTCGACCACTTCAAGTTGCTCGGTCCCGAATATTCCTCCACAAGGGCTCGTCCGTATTTTTCGAAAAATTAAAAAATCCGTCCTCAGGCAAAAAGGGGGTGGGTGGTCAAGAGCGCTGGCGGTTTGATTTTTCGTTCTTTTTTTCTTTTTCTTTTTTCTTGCTCCAGTGACATTCATACACTTGTTGCACTGACTGTGTACGAGTCGTAGTGTACTGTAGGCGAGTGTAGGATGTCGCAAACACCTGTATCTACTATGATATACCGGTACGTGTAGGATGTCGCAAACACCTGTATCTACTATGATATACCGGTACGTGTAGGATGTCGCAAACACCTGTATCTACTATGATATACCGGTACGTGTAGGATGTCGCAAACACCTGTATCTACTATGATATACCGGTACGTGTAGGATGTCGCAAACACCTGTATCTACTATGATATACCGGTACGTGTAGGATGTCGCAAACACCTGTATCTACTATGATATACCGGTACGTGTAGGATGTCGCAAACACCTGTATCTACTATGATATACCGGTACGTGTAGGATGTCGCAAACACCTGTATCTACTATGATATACCGGTACGTGTAGGATGTCGCAAACACCTGTATCTACTATGATATACCGGTACGTGTAGGATGTCGCAAACACCTGTATCTACTATGATATACCGGTACGTGTAGGATGTCGCAAACACCTGTATCTACTATGATATACCGGTACGTGACTTTTCCTCTACATGTACATGTACAAATATTACACAGCAATGAAGCAATCAAATCTCTTTCCGCTGTTACTCGTACATGTAGTTGTAGGACGAGCATGGCCGTCGGTAGACCTACTACTCACTGTACTTAGCTACTAGCAGATCTACTCGGTAAAAATCAAAAAATTATTGGGAAAAAATGGGGGTGGGTGGGTGGGTCACAGACAATTTTGCACAAGGACGGATTTTTTAATTTTTCGAAAATTACGGACGACCCCTGAGCACGCATGCAGGGTGGCCATTTTCACGAATCAGACCACTTTGCCCGGTCCGAAAGATGGTCGGAAAAATAATCAAATTCCGAGGTTCCGCTGTACTCATAATTATTATGATAGCCTCGATAGGCATTCACCGGCCAAAGCTCTTCCGAATCCACATACGCAGTTGGCAGCATGTCACTGAAAGCTGCATTGCGCTTGGGTTTGCCTGATTGTGTTACCAGCCATGCATGCATTATGCATCACTTAGAAGAACTCTCCCTGATGGCTTGCTCAGGTAACGGGCACGTACATGAACATAGTATGTGTAGTACTGGCGGAAAGTGTGCCTCGGGCTCTACCCAGCTTGATAGCACTCTTAATATACCGGGTGTGGTGAACATTGCATTGTACAAGTATACAGTGGATGTGCTTTGGCTGCTAGGAAGACATGCATGATGGCACTGTACAAAATCCTTCCCTTTCCTTCTCTTTTCTAACCATGTGCCCGTAATAACATCACAAACAGCGACTACGTGACAGATTCGTTCATCCACACCAGCGACGAGACAACCCCTATGTTCATTCTACCGGAGTTCCAGTACGATCATGAGCGCTGCATCTACAGCAGTCATGGAGTCTGGAAGCTCAAACATATCGACCGGGCCATGTTGCTGGTAAGATTGACTTCTGCAGGCGTATACAGTAAAGCTCCCCAGATCCGGGCAGCTTGGGACCGAGCATCGCCCGTAACTAGGAATTGCCCATAACTCAAAACTTTCATACTTACTGCATGCAATTAAAAAATGCCAATCAATAGTTTTTAGGGCCGTTTCCCGTTGAAAAGCCAATTGTTGTGACCGTGTAGATGGGCCAGAAAGGTGCCCTGTAGACGGACGTGCCCGTATTAGGGACGTCCGGATCTGGGAAGTTTTACTGTACAATGTTGACAATATTTCTCAGACAGTAAGAGAGAATGATGATTGGCAAGGGTGGCGGGACTCTTCGCTCATTGCTTTGCTGTGTCTAGAGTCATATTCCAAATGGTCTTGAGCATCCTGGAGAGGGGGGTCATTGCTGATTTATGATTTGCAGTGATTGATAATTCATGTCTTACAACTTACCAGGGCCAGGAAGCCAGGCATTTTTTCTTAGGGATGAGAGTGATGTTTGTGTTGCTTATGCAGACCGAGTGATGTTTGTGTTGCCTGTGCACACAAAGTGATGATGTTTGTGTTGCCTGTTCATACAATGTGATTGTTGTGTTGCTTGTGTATCCAGAGTGAACGTAGCATAGTGACACTGTGCACTCAGAGGTATCCACAGGGCGAGTGTGGTGGCCTTATCAAGGTCGAGGTATGTAGTTCAGAGTAGTATTTTCGATTCTTTTTTTCTATCATTCAGCATGACTTTCGGAATTACTTTAAAATGCTTGTGTCTGGTGTTACATTGCTGCTCTGTGTGAAACTGTGAATGCAATGCACCTATCCTAGTGCTGTACACTAACTAACTCTGTTCACGTTATGATGTGATGATGATGATGATGATGTTTTCTGTCGCTTCTTCAGTACTTGTAATACTGTATAGGCACCTGCTACATGTTAACTAAAACCTGCCGTGCCATGTCTGCTATGACTGATGTGCTCAACTACAAGTCACGTGGCTGCTCTGTGTGAACATTTTTTCTCTTGGCTGCTGTGCAGGAGGAGATCACGCAGTGGCAGGAGAAGAAAGCAGAGCTCAAAGCCAAGTGTGAACAGTTCTCAAAGATATCTCCAATTCTCACAGTAAGTAGTTCACAAAGCCGAGTTCACTTTGTCCTTCACACATCCAAAGTCACCTTGTCCAGTTGATGAGGCACAGCAGAACACAAATTTTAGCAAGAGCAGAGACGACAGGGGAGGAAACATTTCTTCAAACATTTTGTTGATCCTATCCTGCAAGTGATCCAGTTCCTATTCTTACGGTGAGATGTGTGTGTATGGGGGGGGGGGGGGGTGTAAACGGCACTGCGCTGTGCTGTACTGCAGCTCGTAAGGTTTGGTAGAGTGCACTGCACACCTCAACAAAATACACTCTGCTTCTCTCTGCTGTGCTGTCACACAGATGTATGCACACCGCGTGGAGAAGCGCACGCTAGAGGACACGCTGATGAATCGGCAGGATGCCACGCTGGCAGAGCGGGGGGAGGCCGACACGCCGTACGCTGGCTCCTCGACTGCCAGGACTGAAGGTGATGGGCAGTCGTCACCATCAATGACTAGCTTGCTGACGGAGTGGAAGACAAGCACTCAGAGCATAGCTGAAGAAACAGAGGACGAAGAAGATGCCAGTTGTATTGTTCTACAGGCCATCTCCACCCTCGATGAGCCCGATACTGAAAATCCTCCCCTGCCACCGGTTGCTGAAGCATCCCAAGAGGAAATGCACAAGCCAAGCCCTGAGCAAATGTCTCAGCTGAGGAAAATTGCCGCTGCTGCAGCTGCTGCCGCTACTCCGCGCCGCAAGACCATCTCAACCAGCAGCTCTAGCCATCCAAAGTCAACATCATTCTCCGTCAGCTTTCCTGGAGGGGCCAGGAGCAAATCGTTCAAGTTTCTTCGCCGCCAGGTGCACTCCGAGACTTCTGTCCGGGAGCGGGTAAAGACGGCCGGGAATTCCTCTCCCTTGGCACAAGGGACAAAGGGAAAGTCCCAAGCTCGCACGCGCACAGCCTCGCGCTTTGGCATCATAGAGAATCTGGTCAACATTGAACACAAGCGCCGTCTCGTCTCCCATGGCTCCTTGTTCGTCAGTCAAGATGTGCAGAATATCGAGAGGATGGCCTCGATAAGGCGCAAATCCAATAGTACCAATGCAAGTGAGTGGCATGCATAGACACCAGAACAGACCAGGAAATGCATTTCTATGAATTTGCCCCCCCCCCCCCAAAAAACCGCCAAGCATCTAAGGCATACTAACAATCCGAAGACGACAAGGGAGAGAAGGTGAGCACTGCCCCTCGCTGTGTGCCAAGCTCATTGAAGGCTTGTGTGCTGTCCCTACAGTCAGTGTTGACTATGTCTATGGGCTACCTTTCTGCATACCCAACAACAGCAGCCACTCATCAACAAAGGGTTCCTGATTTTCCTCGGATGAAAGCACATAAATTGTTCATGTGTGAGTAATGCTTGTGAGTACGCTGGGATCAGGAATGCACTGTTCAACACATCAGACGACCATGCCCAGGTGGCTGTGAAGGGTGTTTATGGTACAAATTACGTCATCGCGCAATGGGTCCATGATCCATTGGCCAGACCCTGGCAGGAGTTTGTCCCATATTTGGCCAGTGCATGTATATGTAACTTACAAGTACAGTAGTGCACTTGTACTAGGTGAGCACCCGGATCCATACAATGCAGTACAAAGCTGGCGCACAGGAATCTGATCCGATACCGCCGATGTGCTTGTACACGTGTATGCCAAGCAGCAGTCGCTTTTGTAGTGCTACCTCAAACCCCTTCCTGTATAATATCATGTACAGTGCTGGTCAATGAAATCCAGTCGAGTTACTCAAGTACGCGCTGGGCGCTGCGCGAGTGACGTGACTGGGATTTCATTGAGCAGCGCTGCTCTACGTTATTAGTCTCTCTGTGTCCATGCCCTTCGCCTCATATCTGATCATGCCCTCGTGGCTGAACATTAGAAAGAAATCCATTTGCACAGGCATAGCCAAGGACTGGAGCAGACCGCAGCCTGTGAATATTTCTGCTTCCTGGTGCTTCGGAATTGTGTATATAATTAAATGTGTATGCATAATGTTACGCCTGTGTTAGGATCAGAAGCACGGAGGAAATGGCAGCGGCTGGCACAGCTGCGTGGAAACAAGGTCGGCATAGCACCCACCACTCAACAGCAGCGGATTGTCAACGAAGAGATCCAGAAGCCAGAGGACAAGGGCGAAGTTGTGCCGTAAGCGATGCAGTATGCATAGGGGACGCACGAGAACACACACACACACACACACACACACACACACACACACACACACTCTCTCTCTCTCTCTCTCTCTCTCTCTCTCTCGTCATTGTACAACTAATTCGAGAATTTTCAAACCTGGGGCCCAGAAGGTGTAATTGTGTGCACCCATAGTATCAGTACATACCATCCACTCATAGGTTTAGTGAACTGTTTGCATCCACTCACTCACTTACAAGAATCGGTAATGATCACACAGTCTACTTAGTACGTGTCTTCAAGTAAATATAAAAAATAAAAATATGTCTAAAATTGGACATAGCATGAAAAAGCACTGCACACACATGCACACACATACACACACACACACACACACATGCACACACATGCACACACACACACATACACACACACATGCACACACATACTGAAATTTCACAAATTTTCGGTGTACTTTTATTTTCGGTACTTTCGGTGCGTCTGTTTCATACCTAAAATTTCAATACACCGAACAAACACTAACACACATAATCCAATAGAGAACTGCTTCTCTGTACCAAAAAATCTGTTCACCTAACCTGGCCTGTTGCCCTCATACCGAAAATATTGAGCACCGAAAATTTCTCAAATTAGAGTACCCCTTTGTACAATCTAGACACTAGAGAGGTATGCATCCACACACATACACACATACACACACACACACACACACACACACACACACACACACACACACGTGTCTTTGACGTCCATTGCCAGATGCGATAACAGCGATACAACAGCAAAAGCCATAGTAACTTGTGCTGGAATTGCACCATTTAACAGATCACAAGCCTGAAGGATTGACCAACACTATTCCGCCTGGTCTACACCGCACAGCTTTTTGAAGTGCTTTTTCTGGCCTGGGAATCCCCACTTTTTGTGTGTGTGAGGGGGGGGGGGGATAATTGAATACCCAACCTCTGCCTTGGAAATCGACTGCACATACCACTGCACCATATGGGACGCGCATGCGCGTACACACACCTGCCCTGTCCTGTAGAGCCACTGCCACTAGGGTCACATGCCCCCCCCCGGAGGGGCAGCCGCGACAGAGAGAGAAAGAGCACGCCACCCGATGGCACTCCAGATGTGAGACTACTAGTAGTCGGAACCGGCGAGAGCAGGTACATATATGCGGGAACTTGTCCCGTTCTCTAGCTGTTGGACGATGCCAGTGCCTTGAACAGCGATGGCGGTTGCGTTCCTGGGTTGAGCGGAAATAACGATTGCTTGCAAAATTGCACACACACACACACACACACGTGCACGCACACACACACACACGCACTACGTGACACTAATTATAGTGTTCCTTTTGTACAGTCTAGACACCAGAAAGGTACTACAGCTAGTTACTACTACTAGTACTGCATGTACAACTATAAGATGCGCAGTCGTTCACACTGACTTGCATGGACCATGCTTTTGTTTGTTCACCAAGCAGCTGCTACTCTACGTACTGTATTCAAGGTAGAATTTGTGTTGCTTTCTACAGCTACTGATTGTCAAAGCTGCTCTGAGCCGCATATCTCATCAATATGCTTACCATGTCTTCAGTCTAACTTAACTTCACGTACTTCGTTCTTGCTTTTTGTTGCATTTGACTGCTCTGATTTGCAGAAAACCAACGCTGCAGCGAACTACATCAGTGGCCTCGAAGATGATCCGCACCCTGTCCACGTCGCTGCACCCCAAAGCCAGTACAGTTTCGGCCGCCAGCATGCGGCAACAGTTACGACGCAACTCCATTACGGATCGGCCCATGTCGGCCAAGAAAAGCATGGGAACGCACAGCGCCATACTCAACCCCGACCCGGTGGAACACGCGGAGACGAAAGGCACGGCCAAGCGGCCAAAGACGGCCGGCCAAGCCAGGTCGAAACGCGACAGCCTGCTGAAGGTAGAAGACCAGATGACGTCTGTTTCGGACTCGCAGCTCCATGCCACGGAAGATTCAGACACGGTGTGCCTGCTGCCCAAAACCAAACCCGCTAAACAGCAGGCCAATGCTGATCAAACTGTTACTGATCACGAATCAACTGTTTAGTCATTACAATTTTAAAGCCACAGCCTTCCCATACTAAAGGACTTGATAGTACAAGACTCAGATCAGGCTGTACTTTCTTACTGCGGCTCTGCACACTGTGGTGACTACCAACCTGTCCACATTGGTGGTACTCACTAATCACAGGCAAGACTTCATTCTAGACTGCTTGGCACGGCACGAAGCAAGAACGACATTACCGCGTGGAGTGCATGTACATGTAGGCGGTGATATTAGCTCTCCGATACACTTCCCGTAAAGGCTGAATTATCTGGATCTATTACATCAATCTGCTCTATGCTTGTTGTATTCATGACTGCACCTGTAATTGTCACACGTGTACATGCATTCATGTACATGCTGATGCATTAGCTCTTGAGAGAACATACTGGTCATAACAGTTACTACAAATGATATCATCTAAAGAGGGACAACAGCGTCTTGGTATTTTATTTTTATTCTTGAATACTCTTGAACCCTTAGAATTATCATCTGGAATAAGGTGGTTGCATTTTCACATGGCTTTCATTCGGATTACACAAAAGCAACTAAAACCATTGTTATTAGGCTAGGGCCTGTTTTGGACTTCCCACTCTAAATAAAGAATACAAACAACAAACAAATAACTCCGTCCTCGACCGCTACCAACTTTATGAGTTTATCGGACTTTATCCTGCCCAGTATTCATTTTCAATTTTATGGGACCAGTAGCTGTGTGTACGAGCACTTCAAAATTATGCCATGTACCATTGTACCACTACAGTCCATTTCAAAACTATAGACGCGTACCTAGGCAAAAACCGTTATGCCAGCATCTATACCACATAAAATCTGTAATCACTTTGTGCATAAATTTTTTCCAAATTGGGCGTCTGTTATCCAATCGTTTAGAAACTATATGAGAGTAATTGTGGAGCGGACCTGAGCAATATTCCGAAAAGTATTCTCAAAAAGTTCCAGCCAAATTTGAAATATTTCAAAAACCCTACGCGTCTATAGTTTTGAAATGGACTGTAGTGGTCAGTGAAGTGTGGAATCGCAATTGGGCAGTGCCTAGTGCCGCACTGCAGCCTAGTGAACGGTAAAGGTGGAAGAACAGTTGCGGCGTCATCATACCTGTGGATAGTGATTGCGTATCTCATCGACCACGACGGTAGCATGCATGGCATCTCTCAATCGCACTCACTGTCTCCGTCTCTATCTCTGTCTCTCGTTTCAAAATAGTGTTGGTGGTGGCGGTCGTGGTGGTCATTGTGGTTTTGTTGTTTGTGGCAATAATTCCATTGTAGGCTCAGCTATCCCTAATCTTAACCAAACATGGACTTACAGCGATTTGAGCGTGGTGGAATATCGCCAACCAGTTACTTTCCACGAATCGGATGAGCAGAAATGCTCACTCGGCGCAGACAGCCAGAGCTACTAGTACGTCAATGGCATGAGCCTTGCTTGATAGTTCGCAAGGTATGATGATGTCAGCAGATGATGACTTCACATCACATGGCGGAGAACGGACTGTATGGAAAACCAGGCTCTGCCGGTTGCGGTCAGGAACACTGTTTTGAAGTGTTTTCCATACAACACTGTGTCCACCGGCCACCGCGCCTTGTGATGTGCTGTCATCATCATCATGTAACGAGTCACGTCAATGTACAATGCACACATTGCACGCAATGCACACCACTTCTCTAACCGTCAGTGTTTCACGCACGACGGGAATCCTGAAAGAAACACTCCGAAAGCGGTCATGTCAGCTCAGCTGCTGAAATTCGAAATCCGCGCATGGGCTCAGTGTGTGCCAGTAACAATTACATTGCCCTTGACCTTCTTGTTGACAGCCACAGTGTACGGAGTGACCTGGTCACAGTTCAGATGTAATAGATGACTTATTGAACTTTACTAATGTCTACCTACAACACCAAGAGTCCATAAACTGTTCATGCACTCTTGACCACAATCAAAACAGTACAAGACATTGCTGACCTGCAAAATAACTCTGCAATGGCACTTGGCAGTAGGTTTTACAACAGCCACTCTGTCGACATACTTATGTACTAGAATTATGGTACGATTTCGAAAACCGCTGTTGCCACAAAGTGATCCCACCAACAGAAAAGGGAGGAAATAAAAGCAAAGATGTGAACTAACTACTCAGTACTTCGAACGCTGTACAACTGCTCTGCACGAGTTTCACATACGTACAACAACACAGTCATATGCCTGTAGATTCACTGTACTGACTACTGTAGAAGCTTGTAGAACACGCCAAAACGGGCGTGCCTTGCTTCTATGGCAACTGATGTGCGCATGCGCCAGGTCTATGATTTTGGTAGTGACGGGGAAGTGGCTTGTTTGTCGTCGCCGTTTTTGCTGGTTCGCAAACTTTTAACTTGGTCCATGTAGTGGTCGGGGCCTGAAAGATGGCCCAGCCAACCGTGGTGAAAGAGGGATGGCTGCAGAAGAGAGGTGAATACATCAAGAATTGGCGGCCTCGATGGTTTCAGCTGAGAAGCGATGGAACTTTCCATGGTTACAAAACGAAACCCGGCCCCGGAGATGAGCCTCTCAACAACTTCACTGTCGCAAAATGCCAGCTGATGAAGTCAGACAAGACGAAAAAGAATGCTTTCATTATTCGATGTCTGCAGTGGACCACGTTCGTGGAGCGGACGTTCTGTGTCGATACGCCTGATGAGCGTGACCTATGGATGGAATGTATAAAAAAAACTGCTGCTGCCATTACGGATTTGGAGGGAGATCAACCCCCACCGGTTGGTAAGGATATCGAGGGTGAGCGCACCATCGATGATTTCGAGATGCTGAAGGTCTTGGGTAAGGGTACGTTCGGCAAAGTCATGCTCGGCAAGGATAAGCATACTGGTGAAGTGTTTGCCATCAAGATCTTGAAGAAAGAAGTGATCGTCGCCAAGGATGAAGTAGCTCACACGATGACTGAGAATCGTGTCCTTCAGTCTGCCAGCCATCCGTTCCTGACGTCTCTAAGGTACTCGTTCCAGACCAAGGAACGACTGTGCTTCGTCATGGAGTATGTCAATGGTGGTGAGCTGTTCTTCCACTTGTCCAGAGAGCGAGTGTTTACTGAGGAGCGAACTCGATTTTATGGTGCTGAGATCACTCTGGCCATCAAGTACCTGCACGAGCTGGGCATCGTCTATCGTGACTTGAAACTGGAGAATCTTCTATTGGACAGCGAGGGCCATATCAAAATCACAGACTTTGGTCTGTGCAAGGAAGAGATCACGTATGGTGCCACCACGAAAACATTCTGCGGCACGCCTGAGTACCTAGCACCGGAAGTACTCGAGGACAACGACTACGGACGTGCTGTGGACTGGTGGGGTCTTGGTGTTGTTATGTACGAGATGATGTGCGGCCGATTGCCGTTCTACAACCGCGACCACGAGGTGCTGTTCGAGCTCATCCTGATGGAGGAGGTCAAGTTCCCGGCGCGCATCTCCGAGCTGGCACGCTCTTTACTCAGTGGTCTGCTCATCAAGGATCCCAACAACCGTCTTGGCGGCGGCAGCAAGGATGCCGAGGACATCATGTCGCATGAGTTCTACGGTGCAATCGACTTCAAACAGCTGTACGACCGCAAGGTCGACCCGCCTTTCAGGCCCAACATCACATCCGCAACAGATACACAGTACTTTGACGAGGACTTCACCAGTGAACCTGTCAACCTCACACCTCCCGAGACAACAGAGTCCAACGTACATTTCGAGGAGTTTAACCAGACAAATTATTGAACAGTCGCAACGCTGGAGACCATCATTCTTTTCTGCTTTTATTTTTCTTCACTTTTTTTGTTTGCATCAAGCTCGCATCCAAAACATAATTTATGCTCGTGTATTATTCAATTGTTAGTTCTGCCCTTGTATACGCTTGCTGATCACTTTGGTCATGTGTGTGTGTGCGTGCGTGAGTGTGTGTTCGTGTGTGTGGGTACATGAGCGCATGCATAAGAGAGTGCTGGCGTTTCCATCTCAGTGGATCTGTACCCACGCACTTGTGTTACCTCGTCTGAAAAATCACAAGAAAAGCGAACTCTTTTGGCTCTTTGTTTTGTGGCAAGTGTGGAGTGTTGAAATGCCAGCGTTTGTCAAGTTGAAGTAAGTGAACGGCCTGAGATTGTATGCATCTATGTTTGGTAGTTGACAGCATACGGCGATGGGGTGTCTTGCAGTTGCTTTGCACTCCTTTTTCTTGCAATTTGCTGTCAATGGGGTGTTCTTCAGCGGCTGTCAATGTCCCGGTTTCTTTATTCTGTGTTGCCTGGCACGTTCCACTACATGGGGTCATGCATCAAGTTTCAATTTTTAATAAATAGAGAGTCTGTAAATATCGATATTTTTTTCATTTCTCCCCAGAAATGAACATACACGTGTTTATGCAAAGGATCGATATTTTTTAATGAAGTTCAATTTCCTCATGAAACGTGACCAGCTGCAACTCTAATTTCACCATACACCTGCATGTACATGTAGGTTTATGTTGCCACGGTCGCACAACCTTGCCATGGCTATGCTCACGAGGTTGACTTTCACTTTGTGTAGGTCATAAACTACATGTTCGAATAGTGCCCGTCCATAGATAGAGTTCGATATAATTTTTCTCAAAGACGAGACGAACAGGGCCCAAACCCCTCCCCCCCCCCCTCCAAACGAACGAATATCTTCTCTAAAAAAAACATCGATATTTGTGGACGACCCCTCTGTATCGAATAACCATGATAACGAGCCAGACTACCGACGATGCTGTGTCATAATAAATCTCGATGTTCAGTACGGGATGCAACGATGAGTCCTAATGCATACCTGTGGTGTACTGTTTAGGGTTTTATTGTTGTTGTGTGACACTCGTCCTCAAGTATGCATAATAACACGATACATCACTTCTCTTCCCCTTTCTATGTACATGTGCCTGCAAGAGTACATCATGTACTCTTGGTACCTGCAAGTAAAGTACAGTACGAGGGTGTTCCCTATAAAAGTGGCACGGGGTGGTCGAGCCTTGGTACCCGGGAGTCGTAACAATTTCATTACTCTTATTAATTTCAGTACTCAATTTACTTATTACTATTTATTTATTACATTTTTAATAGGGCATTCCCACATTTGTACGACTCCCTGCATGCTTAGTACCTGATAAGGTTTAGGAGTACAGTAACTAATAAATGTGAATTAGGTGACATGCATTCCCTTCAAGTCTCACTTCCCTGTGCTAATTCAGCCGCATTTACCAGCTCTCCTCTGTTTTTGTCCTACAGCCTTTGGCTGCAACTTCCCCAGCATGTTAAGACATCAAAATGTCTTTCCAGCTTTAAAAATGCACTCCGATCGCATAATGTAGTACGATAGGATCTCATTGCTGTATTCTTGTCTATCCTTCTTTCTTCTCTTTTTCTATATTCTTTTCTTTTCTTTTCTTGCCGTGGTTGGCTATCACCCCTCTCTCGCACTTTGCGTGCCAATTGGTCATGAACCACGAGTTGAGTGAAATAAATATAAATATAAAAATATAAGTACATTGTTATTGCTGCTGTATTTGCGTACCGGTAATACTCCTGATTCAATCAAGTATGGTTATTTACCCCTGATGCTACACTCTCACATGTATGACTATAGTACATGTACCTTGATTTAGGTACCCGATGATCGCCTTTGGGTCATCCATCATATTCATAACAAGAGTGCATTCAACACGTCGTTATGTACTCTTAGGGGCCTTTGTGCAACTCCAGCCCGGGCTGGAGCGAGCGGGCCTGCCCGCCAAGGGTGTTTACATGTGCAAGGCCGGGCTGGTCGCCAGCCCGCAGTGAGTTATATGCGCTGAGCACACGCCAGCCCGTTGTGAGTATGCAGCAAACACACTACGACTGTAATGTGCTGCCCCGGGCTGAGACGCAGGGCTGCAAGCCATACTCAGGTTATAAACCTAAAAACTTTTTTTCTCACACAATGTATTCTTCTGCTGATTTCTTTTCGCGCTGTGACACATGTTTGGTGTGTTGTATCACCTCGTTTCTTTTTCCTGTTTTTCACATTTTTAGCTGTCCATATCAAAGTATTTTGCAAGTAGTACCCCTTCCATTTTAATGTAAATCATGATGCATGTCGACAAATAAACAGTGCTCATTGCACGTCCTTCTTGTTGCTGTACAAAAAGCTTCCTAGATTTTCAAGACAATATCGGGAATCCTCTTTATAACTTCCCTCAAGAGGTAAAAGCACCTATTTTGTAGTATGAACGCAGTGTCGATACCATAATAATACAACTCTGGCCCGGGCTGGTCTGTTTATATGTGCTTTTTCTGGCCCGCCTAGCCGGGATCCCGGGTGCCTCGAGGCGGGATCCCGCCTCGCCGGGCCAGCCCGCTTGCCATGTAAACGCACCACAGGTTTTGTGTGGATTTGTGTACAACCCCGAGATCCCGTCGGAGGCGGGCTGGCCCGCCTGTCGACCAGCCCGGGCTGGAGCTGCACATATAATCACCCCCTTAGTCTTGGCCATAATAATAACAAGAGGATATAACCCCCAAGGGATTATGGCGACATATGTCCTATTTGAAACACCCTCCCCTACTCTTGATAAATAATCAAGAGTCCATTATACAATCATGTACATGTAAACCCCTCTTGTGTCGTGGCAAATGAAATCCAGCTACATGTACTAGAAAATGAAGAAGACTGTACAGTGTGTACGATCAGTACGAGTCTACGACATGTCATTGGGTTACGTCACAACAGAGGCCGGATTTCATTTGGACAAAGCCTGAGGATTTGTAACCAAGGAAACGTAGCTGGGCTCGAGTTTACGAAGCGTGCGGGCAAAAATATTCTGTCTGTCGATATTTTTTTCAAAAACAGCATGATTGTTTTGATGAATGGACCGTATGCGTGTTAAAACAAAATGGCGTCACGATTTATTGAAAGTGGTATAGTTGGTGGTACGAGTGTTCAAAACCATTAATTTTGAACTTCATACTGTTCGTCTTCTTTTTGACATGCTCTCTTTCCATCGTCCTTAGCTTTTGTTTGTTGTGAGCTGTTTTGGCTTTCTCCTATACCTCTGGGGGATGCCAAGTGATGGTTTTGAGAGGCTGGTGATGGCTGTGAGCGAGAGTTTGCCGATCGGCGTCGTCCTCGCTATAGCGATGAAAATACTAGTTACTACGCACCTGGCAGATATCACAACACGTCGGAGCGTCCAGGAGCAAAGGAATCTTGGGTTTTCACTGGAATCTAGTTCCTCCAGCATCGTGTAGCCCACCGTCGGTGAATGGCCGTCCAGAAAGGTCGAACCTGGTCTTCTGCAGCATCTCGCAGTCCTGCGAGGCACACTGAATACGCCTGTCATGTATTCTCCAAATAAAAATCACGAAGTAGTGGACTTTATAGTGATGAGTCTATCCTGTATGCTGCAAAAGACGCAGGAAATGTGACTGGTGTCCGTACACTGGACGCCAATATCATCCCAGTCTTCTCCTGCAGGATCTGTTTGACATTGACATACCGGTATGCAGTGGGTCGACATTGGCCTGGTTTGGCAGCTATCTGCCTGGGTGGATGTAGCAGGTTTGCATTGGCGCGTCGTCCAGTCCGACATTTTCTTGTAACTGTGGAGTACCGGCAGGGTTTGAGTGGTTGCTCGTGCTGTGAACACATCTCTACTGCCTGTCTCGTCCTGGAAGTGCCGTCTCGCCGCTTCCTTGCTCTACAGTCACGCCGTTATTTCGCCGTTTGTTTCGTGGTGCAGCTCAAACCTGCCCAAACAACTGTGAGCTCGCAACATGTTATGGACAAATTGCACCACTCATGCTGGTTAACTAAAACCGGGATAGTCGAGTAAGCGAGTTCACTCCCTGGGCCATGGCAAGATCTGTTCAGCGCGGGCTATTCCAACCTCCAAGTGCATAGTCACCGATCGATCCATGCGATGGTGGTTGACCTACAAAGAGCCAAGGTCTACGAGTACTACTATTGGATGCTGTCTACATGCAGTCAACAAAATCAAAGTACCTCAGTATGCCCCAGAATAGGGCATGTGCATCTATAGCATGACACAACAGGGGTTCTGGCGGCACCTGTCAAACAAGCAGTAGCGACTAGTGCCAGCTACCTATTGGAGGCTAGCCGCTACAGTCTGTCACTGGAGATAATTATTATGTTCACTGTTTAGACTGAGCACAATCAATGATGCCCAATCAATCTGCCCAATGTGTGTTCTGTTCCACCTAATTATAACGTCCCATCGCATCAACCCTACTACACGCACATGTCGTCACTCTAGCATGACTTGTGTTATTATTGTTTATTTTGATTCGCACGGTAAATAGAGCACAATAAACGTTAACTTGACCGAAGGATAAAGGCGACTGCAGATAGAGGAACACATCGAGGTACAGGTACCGGCATCAATACAGTATCAGAGAGAAACAAACAAAAATGAGAGATACGCAGAAAAAACTCTCGTAAGCCCAAGGGGAAGTGGTTGATGAGGGATGAATGCACTCTCCACGCTCATCTACACTGTTCGTGGAAATGCACACATACATACAATAATATACAACATAGCAATAGCATGCACAGAACCGAACAATTTCATGTTCACACATGCATGCACAGACCTGAACATTAGTACCAAAAGCCGATACAGACAATATCCCCCATACACACAGACGCACACACACACACAATGTCCCATGTATGCGCCCATGGCGAGAAAAGCACGCAAATCTACAAATGCACTGGATGTGAACCCACAGATTTTCTCTTATAGCAACGATAGCGGATCTGATTCTAAATGAAACACACACACACACACACACACACACACACACACAATATATAATCATTGAATGCCCATCCGCAGATGATGGCAGGTCATGAAAGAACAGGCAGTGTTCCAGTAATGGGGAACAGAACTTCGAGTGGCGAGTGAGGTATACACACACACACACGTGCGTGCGCGGGCACACACTAAAGTATTCAGAAATAGAATCGACATTGTAGTATTCATTGGTTGGGGAATGGAAAGGAAAATAAAACATTGCTGTAGGTTATTGTTGTAAGGACACTGGGAGCACAACAGAAAGGTGAGCAACTTGCTTTGAAGCAAAGAAAGTTATTATTCCACGGATCTCAGAAGGAAGGAACGTTCCAGAATGCTGCACTGGCAACAGGCGGCCTGCATGTGCGCGGCCCCTGCAGTCGGTCCAGCTGCCGGCCTTGCAGTGCTGAAAAGAATGTGCAGTACAGCATGTCACATAGTATCGCAGCCTGGACAAATAGGCGCTGGGAAGTCCTAGTTATGTGCTCACCTACACCACGATGCACCAATCTTCTGAGCTACTTTGGCAACAACTTTGTCCACTTGAGACTCCCATGGGCTGAGCCAGTTGTTGAGGGCTGCACCAAGGTGGACGGCAATGACCGCTGATGGCAAGGCAATCCATGACACACAGTCACTAGGGCATCGTCAATATGGCGCTGAGGCTGGATCGATAAAATCAACCTTTAGGCTGTCGCGGGGTTGACAACGAGGCTGCTGTCTCGAAGCTAGTCAGTCAGCCTGGTCACCGCCATTGACGAACCAGTCGCCACCGCCAGCAGTGGCGGTAGGTTGTGACAAGTGTGGTGCAATATTGTCAGCAAATTCAGTACTTAGGATAAGATGACTCATCTTGGGGACGTTGTGTTTGATAATATTGAAGTGAACAGGGATGATCACAAACCCTGCGCGTACTCCACCGTGAGTTACAAGAAAATTCCGGACTGGACGACGAGCAAACGCCAACCTGCTACATCCAACCAGGCAGATACTATTACGATAGCTGCCAAACCAGGTCAATGCCGACCTACTGCATAATGTCAATGTCAAATAGATCCTGCAGGAGAAGACTGGGGTGTTGGCGTCCAGTCACTGAGTGTACAGACACCAGTCACATTTCCTGTGTCTTTTGCAGCATACAGGCTGAGACTCATCACTGTAGAGTCCACTACTGCATGAGTTTTATTTGTACAATACATGGCAGGCGTACACGGTGTGCCTCGCAGGACTGCGAGGTGCTGCAGAAGACCAGGTTCGACCTTTCTGGACCGCCATTCTCCGACGGTGGGCTACACGATGCTGGAGGAACTAGATTCCAGTGAAAACCCAAGATTCCTTTGCTCCTGGACGCTCCGACGTGTTGTGATATCTGCCAGGTGCGTAGTAACTAGTATTTTCATCGCTACAGCGAGGACGACGCCGATCGGCAAACTCTCGCTCACAGCCATCACCAGCCTCTCAAAACCATCACTTGGCATCCCCCAGAGGTACAGGAGAAAGCCAAAACAGCTCACAACAAACAAAAGCTAAGGACGATGGAAAGAGAGCATGTCAAAAAGAAGACGAACAGTATGAAGTTCAAATGGTTTTGAACACTCGTACCACCAACTGCACTTTCAATAAATCGTGACGCCATTTTGTTTTAACATGAATATCGCGGATTGAAAAATCGAAGAAGGCAGAAGCATTACAATAAGGATGTTTAGCAACGCGAAAGTTCGAAAGAAAATTCGAGTCTGGGAATGAGTACAGAAACAAAGGTCGAAACTAACTTCGAAAACTTGGACGCGAAGTAACAGTTGCAGTGATTTGCGAAAGTAACTTTCTCTTTTCTCGGTACGCATTTCACTACAGGGAGTAGTAATTTTATAGCCTCCTGCTTGAGACTGAGCTGCATATACGGTACGGTACTACAACTGTATAAGATTCAAATAGCTTCGAGAAAAAGTCGTTTCGCATTGCTAAACCTCGCAAGTTTTCTTTTTCGAAATAGATTTTCGCGAAATATCGCCACCACCAAAAGTTCGAATTTTCGCATTGCTAAACGTCCCTAATGACTGTGTTTTGTCATTTGCTGCCCGAATAAGAGTAGATGCTGTGCTGAGATTGTACAATATCAGGTCATCTTCTTCTTTCTTGAGCCCTAAAGAATAAAAAGGGAAGAATCTCGTTCTTTATAATCCTGCCTTGATCCCGACGCGTGGTGAGAATGCTATGATGGACCGTCTACGCAAGATTTCAGAGAATCTGTTGACCAGCTCGACTAAATCAGACAATATTGTGGAGATACTGAAGCTCAGTGAGGTATGTAGTGTTACATGTTTATCCTGACACTGTGACAGGAGAACCAATTTTCTGTAATGGAACACGTTCCCTAGGACTTCCAAACTCCCCACCACATGCATACTCCGGCCCACGTCGTTCCCCACACTGACAACATAGTTCCTATTACACGTACTATCATACTCGCGCAATAGTAAGACCAACACAGTGATACCCACCCCAGCTGATCGTTTCTACCACCTCTTATCACTTCACTTACTTTCCTTCGCAATAAAATTATAACAAGAACCCATTTCCCCCAATTTGACTTTGCCTGGTGGTAACGTTAGCGTAAACTTGAGTTGCAACGAACCCTCGCTCTACCGGTGACTTGCCACTTCAGCGCCTGACTTCACAGCGCCAGGAATATCAGCGCGGTAAAGTACAGCGCTAGCAACTCAGTGCAAAAAAAAGTAAGGCGCTGTGATTTTCAGGGCAAAAAAAGTACGGCCCGATAAACTGTATTCAGAGCCATTTTTGCCTCCTTTCTTCTTGTTGTATAATTACTATCCGGCTAGTATTTACCGCCATATTGCCAGGTGCGTGTTACTGTTTACTTATGGAAAAAAACTACAGCGCGATAAAGTACAGTGTGATGTACAGTGCGGTAAAGTACAGCGTGATAAACTACAGCGCGAAGTCAATACTTGTACAGTTGTTGTTGTTGTTGCGTATTTATTTAAAGGATTCTCCAAAAGCAAATGGATGCTTATCAATAGTTATCATAGACGTCTCCTACATAAATTATAGCAAAAAAATGGGGGACTGTAGAGGGGAGGAGATGAAGCATGGGAAAAGGAAACAAGTAGCTGCATAATAGACTGGGATGGAGAGCCAAGGATGATTTTATAGGAAAGAAAAAGTACAGCGTAACTTGTAGTGATGAAGAGGGCTGCCCAAACAACTCTCTCAAAAACAGTATCTGGCTCTGCATGAGGTTTGTGGAGTGAGTCTGCTGCTGCTGCATCATCAATCCACTGAGGAATGTCTGCGTGCTCTGTTGCTGCTCCCTATGAATGCTGCCAATGCCAGCAATCAAAGTGTCAGCGACAGGACTGGACTGGTCTCCGGCTGTGTGCTTCTTCTTCCTACGCTTGTTCGTGGCCTGCCCAACAGCCTGCGTAGGATCTAGAGCAGCAGCAGAATCATTGTCCTCGCTGTCGTTCTCGTCACCTGCATGCTCCAATGCTGATGCTGTAACATGCGATGATGGCCGCTTGTTCCGTCGAGCATGTGTGCATGTGTACGTTACAGGAGTACTGTCGGCAGATACCGTCCCTGCGGTGGATGGTGTCGCAGGACACAGTGGCGAGCTTGAGTGACTAGCTAGAAGAAGAGCATCAAGACTGTCATCGTCACAGTCATCAGCTCTCAGTGGTGGCCGGGTCACTGTTGACGCGCTGGCAGTAGTTGAGCCAGGTGTGCTGGAGCTGGGTGGTGAAGATGACGACGTTCTAGGGATGGCAGCGCTGCTACTGTGTGTTGTTGTCGCAGGATCAGAGTTGGAAGCGGCCTGGAGAGAAGCTGTGTTTATCGAAACAAGTGGACTGTATCCAGGCATCTGCCCGAACAGGGAGTGCCACGTCCGGAAATTTCCCCAGCAAACGTAGGCCATCTCCAGGTCGTAAGCATCGTCACTGCCCGGATCTGGGGCAGCGGAACCAGTCTCCTGCGACTTCTTATACTTTTTATAGAATTTGCGCGCCTTGGATTTTAAATTGTCAACTTTGTTGTGTACGTTTTTTGGTTTAAAAAAAACATTCACACCCTCACCGTAGAGCTCCTTGGCATACACGTTCAAGGTCTCGGTCATCTCCTTCTCCCTGATGCTCCATTTCGTCATTTGGCCCTGTTTTGTCTTCTGATGCGCTGCCCAAAGCTCCATGAGTGTCTTTTCTAGATCGTCAGTGAAATGGTTGCGTGGCATCTCGGAATCAGCAGCAGGCAACAGGAGTGTCCGGAAATTATACTGAACGCACTGGCAGATGAAATCCCAAACACTACAAACTGGCAAGGAACTGACAAGGAAGCCGTCTACTACCGACACAGACTCAGTGCAAGCCTCAACAAGAAACATCTACCCGTATGAAGAACCGAAACCCAAGGAAAAGGCGAAAAGTTGCTTTCTACAGGGATACCAGGATTGCTGAAAAGAAATGCAGCACGTGTTGCGTTTCGCGCGCGTTTCCTTGACGACATAAGCAGAAAAGTTGCGTTTACGCAGTTTTGTACCTAGTGTGGTTGCAGCCTAAGGCGAGCATATTTTCATTGTTAACCCTTAGGGCCGGGTTCCACTGCGGCTCCGCTGCTCGTCTTTCGCGGCTTGAAACGTCATCATTACCATAGTGACCGCGGCTCGAGCTGGAGCAGCGAGTCCGCAGCTCACCGCGAGCTTTTGCTACGATTCTTGACCAAAAACTGCGAGCCGCGGTCGCGGCTCGACCTGTTTCCCGTACTTTGCATTGTTTTGTACGCCAGAATTTTAAAATTCAAATTTTAATTCGTTGCGCAGGCCAGAACACGAAGATTTTTTTGATTTCGCGCGCGCGCACAGGCAGGTGAAACGTCATCAAAAAGTGTGGAGCACGACCGCGGTATCGCGAATGGCGAGTGTCCGTGGAACCGCGCTGCTCCGCTGCATGCAGCCAAGTGCCACGGAGCAGCAGAGCCGCGGAGCCGCAGTGGAACCCGGCCCTTATCCAGTCGCTAAAGTTGCCCAATAAGGAAAGGTGGGTGTTCACTGCTTCCTTTGACACCAAAATAGTGTAAATTGCAGGCAAAATGATTGGGTTGCAATCTGGTAAACCTGTCAACCTATTAGGAAGGTTCCGGAGTACGTTTTTTCGTGCCAAAATCCGTAGAGGCGCTACGGATTTTCATACGTCGTTTTCGAGCAGTGAAATGTTCCGGAGTACGAAAAAAATGTGTTTGCCGTCATTGCCTAGGTTACGATCGCAAACACGTCACATTCCCGCGCTATGCCTTTTTATTTTGAAAATTTGTACCAAAATCAAAACTTCCCGCGGAAAATCGATGTTTCTCGTACCAAATTTGTACGCGAAAAATCTTTCTGCACCCGATGACGCAAAATCTCCATATGAAACATGGTTCGTATGAAAGCCAGTCCACACGGATTCTCCGTGGCGAAAAATCGTATGGAGCACGCCTGGAAAAAATCCGTAGCGCCCATACGGATTTTGGCACGGAAAATCGTACCCCGGAACCTCTCTATTATGGTCGATTTTTTTAATGGCTGGCTGTCTGGATAAGGGCTAAGTACGGTCTCCACTGTTGATCCTCCTGATTTTGCTTTGGCTCTGAACTCTTGCTCTTGGTTTCCATGTGATGGCTACAGAGCGAGGATTGTGAAGTGGTCCAGTGCAGCGTGACCTGTCTGCGTGATGTGTTCAGCCACTTGTTGACACTGACCACGGGCCCTGGCAGCAAGGTGTATCTGAGAGCGGACGACTCTATCAGCGGTAGGTCACATCATGTGTAGTCTACTCCAGTGCGTGAGCAGTAGCATTGTCCGACTAGCAGTGTTTTGCTTTGTGTAGCTCTGACTCTGTATTGTTGGGGGGGGGGGGGGAGGGTAGATGCTGATCTACTAGTACCCCATTTCTCCTCTTGTTCTTACAGTTTGTGTTGTGGTGGTGTGTCTGTAGAGTCTTCGCTAACTGCGGAAGAAAAGAATGCTGCACGTTTAAGGCAGCTTTACTCAACCGGGCTGGACAGGCTCCAACGGCTGATGCTGCATGAGAATGATGACGTGCAGGTGAGGCTGAAATAGTGTGGACTGTGGAGTTGTGTGTCGCCTTCACGGCAGTGTTCCGGACCTCTTCCGCACAGGTTATTGTGTATGCTAGTACATGTATGTGTTTGCATCGGTGTGTGCGTGTGCACGTAATTTTATACGTGTGTACACGTGTATATAGGAGAACGTGGGTGGGATTGTTTGTGGCTATTCTATATTGATGATTGTAATTCGGTGGGCATTGGAATCAGGATATAAGCCTGTCCTTTGCCGCGTGTGCCTTCCCATGTTTGCCCCAATCTTTAGCAAGCAGCGGCCGGCGCTCTGTGCGAGCTAGTCAAAGCAGAGACAACAGCCAGATCACGACCAAAGAAGCGCAAATCCAAGGCTCTACAGCAGCCACAGCGCCAATATCAGTTTGCTGTCTATACTCTGCGGCGTGTGCTCGTGTCACTTCTCGACACAACGGCCAATACTGCCGTGGCGTTGAGCAGTGTGGTGAAGTTCCTGGAGCTGGACGACTTTCGCTTCTCCCTGCTGAAGACTATGGAGTGAGTTTGTTTGCTATCTCGTGTCATGAGCAAATGGACTCTTGGCTTAGTCCTCTAATATTATTAGTACTACTAGTTGCATGCACACCCCAGCTATGCACACTAGTTATCATGTACTGGTACACATTTGACAGATGTCTTTTTTCTTTTTTCTTTTTTTTACGAGAAACCACGAACCTCGAGAACAGAATACCGTATTTTCCGGAGTATAGTGCGCACCCCCAATCTTCATTGGGGGTGCGCACTTCAATCTTCATTGAAGTACATGCATTTCATATTCGGAGCATAGTGCGCACCTGCGATTTAGGGCCTAAAATAGCACATCTAAAGTGCGCACTATACTCCGGAAAATACGGTACTGCACGATAGAGGCGGTTGCAGACGCAACTGTGGTGGTGAAACTGGAGCATCTCCGCCGACCTGAGGTCTCGGCTTTAGCGACACTTCAGTTCACCAAAAGTGGGGAGGAGTAGGCACAGGGGGAGGGGGAGGGGAGGGGGGGGGGGGGGAGTACACTATTCAGCTTGTGTCCAACAGCACTATAGCTTACCCGTTATAATCATAAGTTTTCATGGGCCTACTCGTAACTTCATTCTTCTGATCTCACTCCTGTGGTTGGATTCTGTGCACTGCTGGATGACTCACTGATCATGTTGCTGTGCCTCTTGTGGTTCTTTTCACCAGAATGATTATGCGTGAGAAGTCGGAGGGCAAGGTGAGCTGTGGCAGCAATACCCATCACCCTGTGCATTTCCTTTTGATGGTTGTTAGTGCCTGTGGCCCTTCATGTTTACACGCGTACTGTTTGGGTTGGAGAACCCTATACAGTGGGGATTGGATATTTCGACACTCCTTCGGGAGAAAACTAAATGTCGCTATATTCGATCTGTCACTAAACCCGATCTTCACATTTAGTACTGCAATATGTATATCAAAATGACAGAAATGTATTGCAGATATGTGTGTGCATAATATAATGCATACTAGTATGGATTTCAGATGTGTATGTGCATGCGCATGTGTCTTGCATGCATAGTTCAAGCCAAAAGTCATGCATAGGCAACTACACCGCTGCACTGTGTGCAATGACCAGCAGGCGTGGAGTGACCCAGAGGTCCGGACAAGTCCCAGGCATGCCACTCCGCCTGGTACAAGAGGAAAGTCGTTACAGTCGACCTACCCTTATAACGATAACCTCTATAACGATATTACCTTTATGACGATATTTTTCTGCCAAACCAAATCACTCCATTGACTTTTGTATACAATGGCTTACCTCTATAACAATATTGCTATAACGATATTACCCCTATAACGATATAAAATGGGATGACCAATCGACATTTTCCATTTTATAACAATATCTAGCAGGGAATTATAGAGCCCACTATCCAGGTAAGGCAAGCCTCACTTGATAAGGCGCTGAGACATATTGAAATACAATGGGGGCACCATTGGGCACCTTGCGGTGTATATAATGCGCACGTACCTCAGTTTTTTATCCTATGAAGAGTGTAAAATATGAACAAAAATCATGCATTATGACGTACATGTATGAAATGAACCCGTTACCCTTATAACAATATTACCCTTATAACAATATTTTCTGGTCTGACGCAAATATCGTTATAAGGGTAGGTCGACTGTATATTCGATGCATTTTCAGGTCTTCGGGCACCAAAAAAGTGTCAGTAAATACGATCTGTCGCTATTTTCGAGGTCGTTATACCCGATCTATGATGTACAGAAAGGACTTGGGCATCAGCAATTTGCCGCTAAACGCGATTTGTCGTTAAACCCAAGGTCGTTATATCCAATCTCCACTGTAGTCCATTCATAAAAAGATGGACTTCTAGCTTTTGGCCATAACTGGGTCAAACTTTGAGTTTTTTTCAGAATTTTTCTGCAACCCCTATGGAATCCTCTTCCAATTATGTTTCTGAAGTCTATTTCTCCAAAAAGCAAGCCCTAAAAAGAATAGGATTTCGGCCAGGTTTTGCTCCAAACTCACTGCTTTTGGAAAAACCATGAAATCCAGGCCGTTTGACTCCACTTGCAACCGTGCATTGTGCGGCTCGAACCCCAATTGAGGTACCCCTCTCTCTCTCTCTCTCTCTCTCTCTCTCTCTCTCTCTCTCTCTCTCTCTCTCTCTCTCTCTCTCTCTCTCTCTCTCTCTCTCTCTCTCTCTCTGTCCGTCTTTCTCTCTCTTCATGCTCCTTAAACAGTCCTCCACGCCATGTTTTGTTGGCAATTGCTTTGGCATCCTCAAGGCGATTGCCATGCCAAGAATGGAATGTCAGATCACATCGTTCATTGTTGATGAAGGTAAGCCTGGCTGAGATCTATTTCCTTGTAGGACTCTGTGTCTGTGCGTATGTGTGCACTGTTATTCATGTGTAATGTAGAACTAGTGTGCCCCTCCAGTGGAATACTGTCTGTTTACCAGATGGTGGCAGTGGTGATGAGGAACGCACCGCTTCACAAGCAGTGTTCAGTGTGGCACAGTGTTGGGAGTTCACTGAGTGGCATCTGCACCCGTGTGTAGTCCACCCGCCAGCACAAGACGATCAGCAGTTGAGTGATGTGCTCGTCACAAACCGTCCGGCTGTTCCATGCTGGAGGCCGTACCTACAGTTCTGTCGGGCGCCGAGGAACGGAGCGCCGAAGATCGACCGGGCTAGGATTTCACCAAGCACAGCATACCAATGTATACACGGTGGCTCAACTGTGCATAGACTGTAACACATGAAAATAAGAACGGTCTAGGCTAGGAGGCTGACCCCCCCCCCCCCCCCCAGTTCTTCGGCGACCAACAGTACTGTACTTAGCTTGTGTTGTTTGCTTTCTGCACTGCTCTTCTCCAGAAAATGCAGCATCTGAGCCACCTCGCAAGAAGGCCAAGTCTGCAGAGGGTGCAGAGGAGAGACGGAGGAAGGAACTGTACGGCGATCCGGCCAGCATAGCGGTACGTCTTTTTGAAACTGTTCTTCTCTCGTCTCAGTATGAACCATTTATGTGTAACAACACAGGGGTGTTTCAAAGTACAGTACGCTGTAGTTCATTATTATCGTGACGCGCCGCCATGCGATTGTTTGGAAAAGAGAGGTGGGAAGACTTTCCTGAAGATATTTCTCAATTTCAGCACCCTGAAGTAACATTCTCCATCTGCATTCAATAATAATAAGTCAGCATGTTCATGTATGTCGTCACCTTGCTTGTTTCTCCTGTACGCTCTCAGGCACATCGGCGTGTGTTCAGCTCAGCGTGGCTGTCTTTCCTTCGTTTACCGGTAAGTCGGTCCTACACCAGATGGTGTGGTGAGCAATTTCAGGCGTGTTTCAACCTCGATTGTGCACTTCCGGGGCCCAGGCATATTTTGCTGTGTATTCATGCATAAGACCTGCAGTTGCGTATTTTATATCACAGATAGGTGGTAAAATAATCAAGAGTCCGTTATTATTCATAATGCTGAGCCAGTTGCAACAGGAAAAAGAAAAGAAAAATTGTGACTTCCACCGCTGGGACTCAAACCAGGGAGGGACCTTTGCTATAGGCTAGCAATGCTCTAACCACCAAGCTATGGTATAGTCTTCATCCCAGCAGTGACCGTTGAACATTTTCTTTAAACCCACGCTTCCTGTGAAACTATAAAGGCTATTGGAACGCAGCCCTCCCACACAAACTAGTAGCTAGTGCATTAGATATTCATCAGTTTGATGGAATGAAAATGGAACAAGTCTGAAGAAAGATGACTGCCACCCCAGAGGTCGAACCAGGGACCCTCGCTATAGACCAGCGATGCTCTAGTCACAAATTATGGTGCAGTATAGTACAGCTTAGTTCAGCCTAGTCCCGTTGCTAACTTGTGTTTTTGGCGCTGCCCTCGTGGCATTGAGCACTTCTTGCAAGGGTTTAGCAACGTAGCTCGTGCCAAAGGAGAATATAGATATTCTACCCTGCCCCGACGCGAAAACCCGGAATGAGGGTTATATTGCAGGCTGGCCCCGGACTCCTTCACTCCTGGTGCGTGCGTGTGTGCTTTAATGCTTTGATGCTTACTTGAAGTACATCCACGTGTCCATATGTTTGTTTGATGTTTACGCAGTTACCATCCAGCGTTCTTGTGCGTGTTCTGAACAACATACACACCAACGTCATGCCTCACATGCTCAACCCCAAACTACTCATAGACTTCCTGACGGATGCTTACGATGCAGGTAATGTGCCTCCCTCCCTCACCCATGCAAGAAAGACTCTACTGCCATGGCTGATTTCATGCTGCGTGTGTAGTCTGCATCATCTTCAGTATCACACTTGTCCCCGTGTGTTTGCGCTATGAGCGATTGTCTCACGTTCTTGCAGTGAGACTAGAATATTCCAATAATACTTTCACAAATCCGTTGATCCCTGAGCTGCAGAGAGTGCTCAATGTCATAGGCAGAGCCTTAGAACATAGCAGACTCAAACGACTGCTATGCCATGTTACTTTCCATGTTTTGTTATTGATTTTGCCTGGTGTTCGGGATCTGTGATTTTTTGTTTTGTTTTTCATGTTGTTCAGGTGGTGCAGTGAGTTTGCTGGCACTGAACGGTCTCTTTCTTCTCATAAACAAGCACCACCTGTGAGTGGCAGCACCCCGTGAAATGATGTGCATGTGTGTGTGGGGGGGGGGGGGGGGGGTGTATTTGTTTTCTGATGGCACGTGTTCTGCTAACTTACTTTGACTGCTTTCTCGTCCAGTACTCTCTCAACACATTAAATTGCACCCATGGAAAGCCTGGAAATCTCGAAACTAATATCTGTTTGAACTGTAGACATGCTGTGGGTTGCCATTGGTAGCATCATTTCACAGCTATCAATAGTGGAAGGACATGTGGCATGAATCTCAAATCTTTCCTTCTGGATTTTCCAAAGTCGTTCCGATCAAGGAAGGCACCGGTAGGTATCTAGCCAGTGTACTAGCAGACGGTGCATTCTTTCATGCTCCGGATGCTCCATGGTACTTACGGTATGTGCGTGTGTGTGTGTGGTGTGTGTGTGTGTGTGTGTGTGTGTGCGTTCATGGATGCATGTGTGTGTGTGTGTGTGTGTGTGTGTGTGTGTGTGTGCGTGTGTGTGTGTGTGTGTGTGCTTGTACGTGTATGTTGCTCTACCCTATGTGCTCACAGGGACTATCCGGACTTCTACGAGAAACTGTATGCTCTTATGCAGCCTTCTCTCTTCTACGAGAAACACTGTAGTCGCTTCTTTCGTCTTGCTAACCGCTTCCTTAGTTCCAGGTAGGTTTGGTTCTTTTGCAGGTGTGCTCATTTGTCAGTGTTGCTGCAACAGCAATACACCGGGCACACAATGATCATGTGTGTACACACACAGTCATATGTACTAAGCAGTAGGACGAAATGGACGTTGCACTGTTTCTAGATCCACTCAATGCCTATTTCATGCTGAATATGCGTGCTTATGACATCCCGATAATATCCAGCACACAGTCTATTGAAGTGGCTGTTCAATACTGATGCAGCTGCATGTAAAATCTGCTAGGAAGTGGCAACGTACCCCTGGAAACCTGCGAATCCCTGAAACTATGCCACCGTGTTCTGTATCGTTGCTGTACTTTGGTATCGTGTTCTGACAGCCACTTGTCAGCCTACTTGGTGGCGGCGTTCGCCAAACGCCTGTCACGCCTCTCGCTAACTGCACCTCCAGCTGGTAAGTGACAGTAGGACCCAGTCAGGGGCTAGTTCTGTGAAATGTACTTTTGCTAGTGCACTGTTGTGTGTGTATGTGTGGAAGGGTAGCTGTTTTTAGACCGTTAGTCTTGAGGCGGCAATCAATACAAAACATGCTCTGGCCGTGTGTATGGTGTCTGCGAAGAGCGCGTGCAGAGTTTATTCACTGTTGTAAGTAAGTTAAGACTAAAATGAGTGATGTTTTACTATTACACTGTATCAGTATAATTATGCATGCAGCGTTTGTGAGGCTGCTTGTCTAATCCCAATCCTGTGTCTGTGCCTAAACCGGAAGCATCCATGTCAGTACATGCTCTCTAAAATGTGTCTGTCTCTGCCTACCTGTCCCTCCTCCATCTTTGTATTAGGCTGTGTCAGTACATGCTCTCTAAAATGTGTCTGTCTCTGCCTACCTGTCCCTCCTCCATCTTTGTATTAGGCTGTTTGATAGCAGTGGCTATGATCACAAACTTACTCAAGCGTCACCCGTCATGTAAAGTGTTGGTCCACAGGAAAACGCAAGAACGGCTATTGGACGAGAACGGCGGTGAGAATCGTGCCTTTTAAGACGTTACACTGAACTGTCTCATGTACATATATGTTGTGGACTGTTGGCTACCGTCACCGTCTGTGATAAGACGCGTCACTCCTACCTGCTATACCTGCTGGGATTACACCATATCTGCTGGGATTACACCATATCTGCTGGGATTACACCATATCTGCTGGGATTACACCATATCTGCTGGGATTACACCGTATCTGCTGGGATTACACCATATCTGCTGGGATTACACCGTATCTGCTGGGATTACACCGTATCTGCTGGGATTATACCATATCTGCTGGGATTACACCGTATCTGCTGGGAAGTGTCTGTAGTAATTATTCTCCTGGTGTATGTATTGCTCAGGAAGACAACATGAATAAGTAGAATGTGATGTGATGTGGGTTTTGTTCCCCGGCTGCCCTTTCTTATCACCCTTGATGCAGGGCCAACTGATGCCCGTGTGGTAATACAGTCGTCCCTCTCTAATCCGGCACTTTATAATCCAGCACCCTCGATAAACCAGCACAATTTTCAGTAGCCAAAATGTCCTCTTCATGCACATTGCAGCAGTAAATCAGATTTGTTAATCCAGCACCCTCCCTAATCCAGCAGATTTTCGTGGCACAAATGGTGCCGGATTATAGAGGGACCACTGTACAATAAAACAATAATATTTAGTATTATCATGACTGGTCTGTGCTGCTTTTGGATAAGCATGCCACTGCCGCGATCGCGGCACAGCATGTTGCATAAGCCACTGACCAGGTTAAACTTCCGAATTGGAGTTCGAAGTGCATACCGCTTCGAGTAGTACGCACTATGGTCTCATGCTTGCTTCTTAATTTTCTTATGTTTTCATTCCTCGGTGCGTACGTGTGTGTGTGTGTGTGCATGTGCGTGTGTGTGTGTGTGTGCGTGCGTGCGTGCGTGCGTGTGTGTATGGTGTTCTTTCCTGGTCCTGCAGAGTTCCTGCCAGCGGTGGAGACTAGCGTTGAATCCGATGTGTACTTGCCTGCGGAAGCTGACCTGTCTAAGTGCCGGGCATTAGACAGCTGCCTATGGGAGCTGCAGGTCAGTGAAGTACTGATCATGTGTACATGTTTAGGTTCCACTAATAGACAACACATGTCAGTCTCCAGCTGGAACCAACTGGTTTTACTGCTAATGTACAGGACACACATAATCATGCCCTGATACCAACAATCCGAAAAAGCAGCTTATAGAAACGTGTAGTCATTCACTCCAGTTTTTTGAGACACTTTTATTCCGAAAGCTCAACTTAAACTTTCTGCTGTGGAGATCTCTCGATACCAATCAACTCAAATTCAGTGCATGATGTAGCAGAAGAAAGGCTGAGCTGTAGATCATCTACTACCGATCACTGAATGTACAAGTGGCGTGTGATTACTGTTCGTAACCTTTTTTTTTAATGCTGCCATCACATCCCAAGGCGTATTTTTCTCGGTTTGTGTGATGTGTTTGCAGTGTCTGCGTGGCCATTATGTTCCCGCCGTGAGCAATTCCCTTGCTCTGCTGAATAGCGTCAATGATGTTGTGGAGATTGACCTGGAGCCGTACCTAGAGAACTCGTATGAATCTGTACGTCCTTCATGTTGCATTTGCAATGTGCCTTGTCCCTCTCTTTCTCTGTTTCTCTCTCTCTCTCTTTCTTTCTCTTTCCCTCTCTCTTTCTCTCTCTCTCTCTCTCTCTCTCTCTCTCTCTCTCTCTCACTCACTCACTCACTCTCAGTCTTGCTCGCTCTTGCTCTCGTTTTCACAGAGTGTGTGAAAGTACTCTTGCTTGTTGTGTTAAACAGTGACGATCTTCATGTTGTTTGTGACAAGATGTCTGTGTATTTGTTTCGAACGTAAAGTTCCTGTGTTACGAGTTGTGAGGAACTTTACCAAAGCCCTCGATTTGATCCATTTCGAATACGTGCCGCAACTCCCTCTCTGAATCTGTGTTTCCCGGAGCAATGGTTAACATCATGACTGTAGACTTATGCCTTTTCAAAGTGCGGACACGGTCACACCTAAGCAGACTTTCTGATCCTTCTATGTTTTATAAGTATTTAAAAGTACACATCATACACGTGTATGTTAGGACTTAACTCAGTTACGGCTGCTAGCCTAACAGTTACATGGATGCTCTTTGTTTTGACCTGCAGCTTCAAGAAGGAGTCAGATCGGCAGACGCTTACCTTGCGCCCTCGATCGGTAAGGCATGCACTCCGTCCTTTACCGAAGCCCTGTCGCGCATTGCAGCCGAGATCCTGTGAGGCTGCTGTTGTTGATACAGTCGCTGTATTCGGGGGGAATAAAGCCTTGGGCAGACATAATAAGACAGTGTTCCCTTAGTCCAGCGTCAACCCTGACAAGCAACTGTACACCAGCACCAACAGGGCCAGTACGAAGCAGGCAGTGCTCGGGCTAAAGATGTTGCTTAGTGCAACCAGACCTCGCGTGTGTTCCTACCATTTCTTATTTTTCTTCTATCATGAAAAGCATCTCTGGTGCATAACTTTCGCCCGTGTTGGCATCTGATAGCCTGGGCAGATACGCAGATATGATTGATTTAAAATTTACCTAGTTACCATAGTAACTGCATAGCAACTTCATAACAACCCATCCGAATATGTTCAACTGTAGTTGAGCTGCACATGACTTGAGTGTTGAGAGCATCATCATCATCACTGCACTATACTTGCAATAACTAGCTTACTTCGTCATTCATCAAACAACTTTGAAGCAGATGAGAAACCGTGTGCTGGGTTAGAATGCATACTGTATACGTACATGACTGTACAATTGTCAATTGTACAGTCATGATGCATGTGTATATGTACAATTGTCAATTGTACTGCATGATGCATGTGTGCACGTTGGCAAGGTTGCATGAAATCCAGAGTGTGCAGCTTGAATGGGTCGCTGTCACGGCGAAGAAATCTGCATTTATATCATTTTAGTGATACGGATAGTGCGTACAAGCAGGAATCCAGCAGATATCCGGCTGTTCAACTGCAGCTCAGTTGTACACACCGGCATCACTTCCCGCCGCTTACATGCATCAACTACGACGTAATCCAATAATTTCGCCGTGACAGGCACCCATGCAGAAAAAGTTACAAGCTGCACACTCCGGATGTCATGTATTCTTGATGTAACAGTCTGGAATACCAGTGCACAGAGGGTCCGTTTTGTCCGCAAACGATTACGTGCATGACTTGTGAAATGTATGAAGTGTGACGTTCTCTGTGGATAAGACGAGCATTACAGTACATGTACTACCGGTCGCCGAAGAACTGAGGGGTCAGCCTCCTAGCCCGGACCGTTATTATTTTCATGTACTTCACAGTCTATACCAAGAGTACATAACCCCCCCCAGAGTGTGCAACGCCGATCCAGCTCTGTGTAGGGTCTTGGTCGAGCGGAATCGGATCTTCTGATGTCATGCGTACACTTCACACCAGCGCAAGGCCGGTCTCGAGGCAGGGCACCATTGTTTTTGATCCAAGAGTACCCGCGACTCCCCGGGTTCCCCTCAGATGTGTACGGTATTATGACGCAAAGATCCGATTCCGCTCGACCAAGACCCTATGCAGAGCTGGATCAGGCGTTGCACACTCTGGGGGGTTATGTACTCTTGTCTATACGCAGCTGAGTCACCGTGTATGCATTGGTATGCTGTGCTTGGTGAAATTCTAGCCTGGTCGTTCTTCGGCTCTCCGTTCTTCAGCGCGTGACAGTACTGTAACCTCGGGATCATAAAGGAGCATGTGATGTACGCACAAAGGAGTAAATTTTGGCACGTGTCGGCAAAGTGCAGAGCGTTTCAAACGAAAATGAGAAAGATGGCCAGTTTGGATTTGTCATAACTCAAAAGTTTCATGCTACTGCAATCATCAGACGACTGATACTAAAACCTGAGACTAATCATTGTGATCATACCCTTTCTATGGGATCCACCGACAGCGATAACTCACATCACCTGGTGTAGTGTTCTCGTTGTATGTTCCCAGGCCGTTTAGCAACCAACGGAGTAGTAAAAATAACACTCCCTGGCAGAAACCCACTCAGCTTATGCGAGTCATCAACATCGGATAATTGCAGATATTCGGACTCCGCGCACACTGGCCTTTGTTGTGTGTAGATATTAGTACAAATCGTACTTCGAACACGTGATGTGAGTTATTGCCACACTCTTGAGAGCTTATTATTAGGGCTCAAACGGTTAGTCCGATTAACCGGTTGCAGACCGGTTAAGAAGAATTGACGGTTAACCGATAAAGATAACGGTTACGCAGTAACTTTTCAGTCAATTTTTTCAAGTATCAGGTCGTTGCATGCAAAGTATGCACTTTCACAGGCTGTCGCACGCGTACGCAATTTCTGGGCTGTCAACTCGGTCATATCTGGTCTCTTGGTGTGAGAGTACCGTATATTCTCTATTATAAGCACAGGTCTCCATTACTAGCACAGTCTCTAATACTAGCACACTGTGAGCACCTTTCGAATTATTATAAGCACAGCCTCTATTATTAGCACGGTCTTGGTGGAAAGCAATGCTGCATGCATGATATCTAGCATGTATTTTCTTCTTGATCTGTATTAGGGGTGAAACGAGTATCTATTTTGACCAACCGATCACTCATTCATAATGTTCGATCGAGTATCCGATTATTTCGAGTATTTTATCAAAATTCGAAAGCGCTCGATTTGTGAGTTCTCGACCAATTCGGAAGAAATTATCTGTGAACATAGAACAAAAGTCGCCAGCGTCTTGTACAGAGTGTAGAGTAACGATTTTCACCAGTACTTTCATTATCTCATAACAAACTAACGTTACTTGCCGTGGTGATCGCATCGTCGAAGTCATAAAATACTGACTCAAAGGCATGCAACACGCATGCATACCAGTCGATGAGCGGTACAACAGAAGTTTTTGAAAAATGAAATGCCAATACTAAAAAAAAAAAAAAAAAAAAAAAAAAAAAAAAAAAAAAAACGATCGAGTGCAAAATTTCGAATACCCGCTCGTTTGAAATTTTCGAACGAATACTCGAATATTCGAACTAATCGTTTCACCCCTAATCTGTATGGATGTATTGGTTGAAAAAATATAAGCACGGTCTCCAATATAAGCAGGGGTAGAGGGGTGTTGAAAAAATACAAGCACAGCGCTTATAATAGAGAATATACGGTATGTATGAATGAGCATGTAAGAGAATGTACATGTGCGTTGTACTGAATAGGGTACATTTTTTGAATGAATATAGTCAAATATACGGTTAAAAAAGAGTCCGCAGGATTGCCGTGGCTTATAGGTTATAACCGTTAAACCGACCGTTAGCTGAGCAGTTAACCGTAAGGCCACCCTTTCTTTTTTCGTTGTTTAACGTCCGCGCCCGCGTACCTTTTTGCCTCCGACCGGAAAAAAAACCAAGAAAGTAGTAGTACCAATAATATGCGAAGTTGTAAATACATGATTGTGTAGTTTCACAGTGTGCCGATCATGACCTTAAATTTATAATCTTGCCTCCCGGGCATGCCTTTGTCTTGTGTTCTTTTTCTTTTTTTTGTTGGCTTTTAAATATCGTACGGTGTGTGTCCTAGTAAAAATCCAGATGTAATGAATTCATGACATGCTAACTTCATGCTATGTACCTGTTTTGTTGGATTCATCAGGCATGTGCTCCAATGTACCATCAAAGAGTGTTGTTCTATGCCTGGAAGTGCCGTTAGACCCAGAAATATTGTATATATCACATGCTTTACTGGTCAAAATGGGGGATTGGGGTTTCCAGTTTTTGGAATGGGCTTTTGTTGTTTTTTCGCCCTCCCGCGTACCTTTTCGCGAAAAAAAAGGACGTTAAACAATGAATTAACAAAGGGTGGCCTTAGGGGTAAAACCGTGACCGTTTGAGCCCTACTTATTATACTCTTGATAGTGCCAATGAGTCATAGAACACTACCTGATTGTACCCGCATTCAGGCTTTGCCAGCAGAGAGACCATTGTACTGGCACAATGATTGAGCACTGATGTGATATGTGTGTGTCTGTGTGTGTGTCTGTGTGTGTGTGTGTGTGTGTGTGTGTGTGTGTGTGTGTGTGTGTGTGTGTGTGTCTGTGTGTGTGTGTGTGTCTGTGTGTGTGCAGGTGTGTGCGTATGGCACTGTTTGTGTGTGTGTGTGTGTGTGTGTGTGTGTGTGTGTGTGTGTGTGTGTGTGTGTGTGTGTGTGTGTGTGTGTGTGTGAGAGAGAGAGAGAGAGAGAGAGAGAGAGAGAGAGAGAGAGAGAGAGAGAGAGAGAGAGAGAGAGAGACTATTATGAAGAAAGTGCCGGTCACTATTATGAAGAAAATGCCAGTCACACTGACGAGTTTGCCACTATTCATGCATTGTTAGTAGGGCTCAAACGGTCACGGTTTTACCCCTAACGGTTAACTGCTAAGCTAACGGTCGGTTTACCGGTTATAACCTATAAGCCACGGCAATCCTGCGGACTCTTTTTTAACCGTATATTTGACTATACTCATTCAAAAAATGTACCCTATTCAGTACAACGCACACATGTACATTCTCTTGCATGCTCATTCATACATACTCTCACACCAAGAGACCAGATATGACCGAGTTGACAGCCCAGAAATTGCGTACGCGTGCGACAGCCTGCGAAAGTGTATACTTTGCAACGACCTGATACTTGAAAAATTGACTGAAAAGTTACTGCGTAACCGTTATCTTTATCGGTTAACCGTTAATTCTTCGTAACCGGTCTGCAACCGGTTAATCGGACTAACCGTTTGAGCCCTAATTGTTAGCATAATTCGTACTCACGTACTTGCTGAAAAATCTGTCCCCAGTGGGGAGGTTTCAATTCTGGTCGGGAGATAGGGAGACGTTTCGAAAACGGTTTTCGAAACATCTCCCTATCTCCCGACCAGAATTTGCTGATGATTCACAAAATCAGGAGATCTCCCACCTGATAGGGAGGGAGATTTCATTTGGTACCTCTCGGGTTTGGTGTTGTCAGACATTGGGCAGTTCAATACCCAATTGACTCATCTTTCTGAGATTTCTTTTGATTCCCCCTCTCAAGGGAGATCCACGTGACTAGTCTAGGACAGAGAGTAAGTACATGTGTGTGCATGTGTGTGCGTATACTTGTACGTGTGTATGTGTACTTGTACGTGTGTATGTGTGTACAAACGCGTGTGTGTATGTACTTGTACATGTGTGTGGGTGTGTACATACGTGTGTGCGTGTGTGTACTTGTACATGTGTATGTGTGTGTGTGTGTGTGTACATACGTGTGTGCGTGTGTGTACTTGTGCGTGTGTATGTGTGTACATACGTGTGTGCATGTGTGTCTGCTGCAGTGCACGTGCTCGCATATTTCCGAGTTTTGGTAAGGAGACCATTGGACTGCCATGCCAGGTTCCCAATGTACCTATTAAAACCATGAATACATAATACAGGTAATAACAATAGGGCTTGAAAGTGGTACATCACAGCATAGCAACAATTTCAAAAATTCAAAAACTGGATCCACTTGGATCCAGTTTTTGTATGGGTTCAAGCACATTTCAAGCGGTCTTTAATACTCACAGCAAGGTGATGTGGCCAATGAAACTGACTGATTTGGCTACTGGGGGCGGGGTGACAACTGGTGGCGAAGTAAAAGTCACACCTGCATACGACATGAGTGGGTTGCTATGCACCCACATACTGAGGCAATAGCAAAGTCACACCTTAGTGGATCC